GGACTTTTGGTTTTGTGGTGAATTTTCGGGATTTTTTTGACTTAGGATGTGATGTAATTCTGTAAACTTTAAAAGCAAAAAACTTTCAACATTTGTACTCTGCAGTCTCTGAGGAGCATGTATAATCACACATTCTGCAGCATCATCTAGGGCTTCAGAAGTGTAAAAATTGAGATCTTATGTTTAGTAGGTAGAAGTTTTTTCATGTTCGTTTTGTCAGATGAGCACTGCATTTAAATGTGTAGCTACAGTCCATGGAGCTTGGAATTTCAGACATTGCTTCTGTTATCCTTTGAATAGAAACAGTCAAAGAATGGATCTGGAAGCCAGTAGGAATTTGACATCTGAGCAAAAAATAAGTGTGTTTAGCCGCCTTATTTTTCTTTCTTTGTGACAAATGGTTAGGGTTACTTTTGTTTTTTTCTAATTTTACAGTTTTTCTTCATTTAATTCTTATTTCTGTGCAGTAGTGAAATAACAATTTTTTCCTGATATTTTCACAAGTGAAGTCTCTAAGACTTAATTTCACTAGCTTGAAGCCTTCAGCTAAATAACACTAAACCAAACCGATTTTTACACTGTTTTGTCACTGAAGTTGCCATCATTATTTCAGAAGTATGGCTACCACAGGCACTGAGTCTTGGCTAACATATCTTCAGGTATTTATTCACCATTATAGTATTGATTCTTCCTTTCCAACAAATTGTGCCTATAGTGTTGCAGTTTTGTCTTAATGGAACAAGAAGATAGGACTTTGATTTTGAGGAGCAGAGAGGTGGGGGAAAGTGTGGGCATAGGATCAAATTGTAATGGTGTAGTGATTTTCTTCAGAAAAGTAATCAATCTCAGTAACATTTTTAAAACCCATTTTCTAGACAATGTGTTGCCAGCATTGTCTTTCATCGAACCTACAGTGAGCATGGCTGCTGGGGCATTTTACTGGCTTCTGGAAAAAAAGCTAAAGATGAGTGAAAAACCAGAAGGAATGAGTTCTGGTCTTCCTGGATAGGGCCAAAATTTACAGTGTTGATCTATAGATGCATCTCATCTAGGAATCACACCTTGTAATCTGTTATTCTAATCATATAAATTTGAAAAGTTTTTCTCGGCAGTCTCGTTTTATACAAATGTATGAAATGGGTTCTAGGATCAATTTAACATTTAAATATGATGAATATGATGGGCTTTACTCAACATAGCATTTATCAAGTGGGAAGCCTATAATATGTGTCTAAAGGTAGATGGGACAATTTCATTTACTGAAAGTGAAAAATTGACCTGTGCTTCCTAATGCCTATTTGACTGTTCTTAGCAATGCTGCTTAGCAGATAGCTTACACCTTTTCCTTTAAAGGGGAAGCTTTCTTGTATTTATCACAATAGTAGGAGCATGCATGCATGCAGATTTCTGTTGAATATCTGATGTGTGAGAAATTCATGTCCTCTCTTATTTTGCAGTGTATGCATATCTCTTTGTATTACAAGGCCTAGCTCCATTTAATTAACCTCACTGCTGGCAAAAAATAAAAATAAAATGTTCTCTTTAAATTTTTTTCAGTGGTTGGAAACATTATTTATGAAAAAACAATTGACAAACTGTAACTGTGCAAGCTTAAATAAAGCTGTGTATACTGCCCAGTCAAAAAAATTGACTGGCAAAAAATAAAAATAAAATGTTCTCTTTAAATTTTTTTCAGTGGTTGGAAACATTATTTATGAAAAAACAATTGACAAACTGTAATTGTGCAAGCTTAAATAAAACTCTGTATACTGGCCAGTCAAAATAACTGCAAGTACGTATTGCAGTCATTGAGAGAGGAGAAAGATGTGATCACAGCTGCTCCAGCATACAGTCCTTGATGCTCTGAGAGGTTATTTTGTGGTTATAATGGCTGTATATAAGGGTTTCTGGTCTCATGTTAGACTCCAATTAACCATTCCTCCTGGAGTGCTCCAATGCCTCCAGCTGCCTCTGCAGCACTCACTCCACTCAGTCAAATATTTCTGCATGTCACAATGTATCCAGTTTTATCCACATTATCTCCCCATTAGTTTGGGTATTGGCAATTTAAGAAGCCTGCATTAGGTATATAAATGCATCTCACAGTTCCTTGACCAACATGCTATGTCTGTTTTAATGATGAAGCAGCTGAGGTGTTGTGATCAGTGTTTTCAAAGATTATAAAATGGTTTTCCATGAATCACTGGCTTTTTTCCCTTTCTTGGCCATTTATAGACTCTGTATATCTGGATTTTTAGACAAAGTATTGTTTCCAGAACAATGTATGTTTTGCTTCTATAAAAGGAATCGGTTTTGGTGTTCTGTGCTTGTTAAGGAATTTTTGAATAGTCAAAGCTTTGATTTTTTGGCAGGTTTGGAGAAAAATTGTAGTTGGCATTTTGTGCCATAGAAGTTGAGAGTGTCAATAGTAGAGCACAAGGTGAAGAAAGTTAAATCAGCTATTAAAAATGTTCATGGTGAAGGAACCTTTTGATTTCACACCTTAGTATTGCTGATTTGGAAAGTGCTTGTCTGAACTTCAAGGCCTTGGTCTGCCATTTTGGGAGACAAGGAGTTAGTTGGGGATGGAAAGACTGGAGTTTGTATTCTTTCTGCTCTGTTACCCATTGCTATCTTCATGGATCTGACACTCTGTTTATCTGACAGTGCACTCAGTACTGCTTCGCCAGGGAAAACTGCACAAAACAAGCCTAGTGCATCAGCATTTTCATTGTGTATTAAGCTGAGCCTCCCTTCACATGGTCACATCCCCTTTTTAATCTGGGATTCCATGTCCCTTTCCCAGTCCAGCCTGTTTCTGTGGTGTCTATTGCTGGTCTCCCTGAGCTTCTGTTTCTGTGGTTTGAGTGTTTTTTGTGTGGCTGAGTGTTAAGACCTGCAGGACTTTTGGAAGTGGTGTTGTTGGGGGTTAGGCAGTACATTGATTTAGTGTTAGTGGTTTGTCAGAGACTGAGGTGATGGCTGCGTTCAAGTTGGATTTCCTCCCAGAGATGATGGTGGACCATTGTTCCTTGAATGCAAGCCCTGTGTAAGTATTTTCTCTTCATGTCTAAGTTAAAACTAAAATGATAGCTGGAATTGCTGTCTCAAGCCCCTGCTGTCTCTTGGGACAGGAAGGAGAGATAGGACAGCCTGCAGTTTGTTTTCTAGAAGAAATCCTAGTGGTCATGGAAGATTGATGATGGTTTTGAGATGGGAGAAAATGGTCTGATAATAGTGGTGATGACTAAGGAGGAATAAAGCTGTTTCATGATATTGTTTATAGTATGCTACAGGTGCTGATATTATAAAATGGATTGTTGAAATCCCTTGTGGGAAGAACTGTTTCTGTTCTTCCCTATTCATGACTCCAGACTAAACCTTTTAATTAGGAGTAAAATATTCCTTGAATACTGTTGAGGTCATATTAAGAGTTGCCCAGTTAACAGGAGCCATGTTGTGCTCTTCAAGCTACCCATGGAAGGCAGGGCTGAAAATTACTATTGGAGAGGGTAAACAATTTCCAATTGTTCTTAACTGAAATGAAAAAAGGCAGTTTATATGTTTGCAAAGGGTGTTGTTTCCCTTGGTTATTTGGAGAGGTGCTGACCCTTTCTGGGTGGAAAGGTGGAGAGGAGTGAAAGGATTTATGATGATTCTCTTCCCTTCTAGTAAGAAACTTTGTTGTTTTTAAGGTCTGTTCATACAGCTATAAAATTATGAACTTTCCCTAACATCACTTTTTCCTTAGGCTCTGAACAGCAGTGTATTGATAGGGAAAAGTACTAAACAGTACTGGGCTTGGATTTTTTTAAAACTTCTTTTCAGGGGGAAATGCGATTTCAGATGGACAGTGAGGAATACTGTTTACGTATGTGCAGTTAATAAGCCATTCAAACTATCTTCAAAGGAACAAAGCAGAGATGAAGAGGACTGCTCTGGAAGAAGACCACCTTCAGCAAAGAGTTGGGGGCAGAATAATTGTATAGTTGCTGTTCCACTCTCCATGTCCTTTCTAGATTATGCAGGGATTGGTCAGCAATTTTAACGAGCTAATCACTATAGCTACAATAGGGTGTCATTACAGTCAGACTAGGTGCTCTGGTGTACCAGGCTGGGAGTACCGATAACAGACATCACACTGCACCTAACAAATAATGAGTCAATAGAGGGAGCAGTGTAGGACTTGTCAACTGGCTGGGTGGAGCATAACACAACTTTTATTAATAGGGTGTAAACTGCTATATGGCTAGACAGAATGCCTTGGAACATATTGAGGATTCTCATGCTCAAAACTTCGGTGTTGTTGTAATCTGACTTTTTTTTTCTGTGTTAGAATCCTGACATTATTGAACCTGATTCAGTCTGTGACTGGATTGTCTAATCCCAGCCTTTTCATGTACAATTTAAGCCTGTTTTTTGCCAATTATTGTTGAAATCCCCCTAGTTTCACAAAGAAAGCCTTGTAAACCTTTAAATAAAGTTACCATTGAATCAGTTTATTCTGTTTCTCTGTTTTAAGATGGATCCTCACCCTGGGAAACAGTTGCAATTAGTCTCATTTAAAAATGTAGTAATTACATTCTCTCATTTTCGTTGGTTACTGATAACTTTGGTACATTATAGGTAGACCGAGCATAGGTTCCTTTCAGTTCTGGTTTCTTTTTCTGTAGAATTTTATATGGCTGAACTAGTGTTATTTTTCAGTTATCTCAGCAGATTTATAACCTGAATCCCAGATGTTGACTACATTATGGAAGAGTTTTAAACAGCTGTGTAGAGTGTGTTTCATTTCCAAGTGCATAGCTTGCCAGTAAATGTGAATGTACTCTGATACGCATACTGAGAATGGGCAAGAGTTCCCTTTTATATGTATATTTTCATCATACACATTTATATATGTGTGGAAAATTCATTTTTCTCCAATTTTGCCATAGGCATGCTTTTGTTTAGAATTTGTAGGAAGATGTAAACCAGACATTCCTTTTTGTTTTTCTTAGTGCAAAGAAAATGAATGGCACACTGGATCACCCAGACCAACCTGATCTAGATGCTATCAAAATGTTTGTGGGTCAAGTCCCACGGAGCTGGTGTGAGAAGGATCTAAGAGAACTTTTTGAACAGTATGGTGCTGTCTATGAAATCAATGTCTTGCGGGACAGGAGCCAAAACCCTCCTCAAAGCAAAGGTGAGAACTTCTGTACTTCTCTTGTGAGACTTGAGGTTTCAGCCACTTTCACATAGTTGCAGTCTTAGCTGTATGCTTATTCAAACAGCCCTGTAGGAGCTCTGTGTGACCAGGTGTGCATGCAAGCCCAGACTTTATAAAGTCTTTAAGTGTGTTCATCTAACTATACCTGAACTGTGATTCAGTCATTAGCTGAGCTTAGAAAAATCATAATGTTTTTAGAGCTCAGCAGTGAGAGAGGTGCTTGCAGAGTATGAATTATAATTGCAAAACAGAACATCCAATAACACTGTGTTGCTCCAGAGCATCACTGTGATGCTGTGATATGATCAACATGTGGCTGTATGGGGACACAGTTTCAGATACATATGAAATTGGGGTTTTAGTAGTTTGTGTTAATCTAATACTTGTAAACGTGAAATTCTTGCTAAATTTTGTGCCTGGATTTGCACTTCAGTTACATGCAGTATTTCCTGTGAAGGTAGGTAGGGTTTTGGTACAAGGAAATAATTGAGTTTGAAAATGAAGTATCTGACAGATGTATCTAAGTGTTTATTTTAATGGTGTAGTGGGGATGTTGGGATCTTTTCTGGCTAACATTTTGTTTCAATTGCAGGGTGCTGTTTTGTTACATTTTATACCCGTAAAGCTGCACTAGAAGCACAGAATGCTCTTCACAACATGAAGATCCTCCCAGGGGTAAGAGCAGAGCCCTGCTTTCTTCACAACTGTCTTGTTTCTCTGAGCTCCAGCACCATTGAAGCACAAACACATTATGTTGCCCTAAAGTAATGCTGTAAAAAACTATTCAAAAGATCAGTGTTATGAGATGTATATAATAACAAATCTTATGGGAATTTTGAAGTATTTCAAAGAATGATATGGCAGTGAAGTGGGTGGGAATGGTTTTTATAATACTCTGAGGAGGAGTGATGGCATATAATTAGGAAAGCCTTTTCTTGGAATTTTTGTAGCGTTACATATACACCTCTCTTGAGGCAATTTAGGCTATAATTTCTTTCACAATGCTTATGAGATGTATTTCATATAATATGAAGTGGATGTATCTGGGATGAAATAATCTTTTTACATTTCAGATGCACCATCCTATCCAGATGAAACCAGCTGACAGTGAAAAGAGTAATGGTAAGCTTTAGTAAAGTCCCAGTTTGGTGTCATCATTTGTGCTAGTCAGGCAGCTTGAGAATTTCCCTTTTGCTTAACAGCTTTTGATGAAGTCTTTAATTGGAGGCCTGGTTTTTTAAAAGAAAAAAAAGTGAAAGCAGAAAGGTGTGTTTTCAATAATAGGTAGTGTGAGTGTTGTCTCTCAAATTCCATGACTCAGAGTATCTCTCCCACTGCTGCTTGTGGTAGAACCACGTTGTCAATTAGGGAAACATCCAGTGAGTTCTTCTTTGTACTAAGGTGGTTTAAATCTTTGTTGGGGACATGGACAGTGGGATTGAATGCATCCTCAGCAAGCTTATGGGTGATGTCAAGCTGAGTGCTGTGGTTGGTACCCTAGAGGGAAAGAAGTCCAGAGGAGCCTTGACAGGCTGGAGAGGTGGGCCTGTGCCAACCTCATGAAGTTCAGCAAGGCCAAGGTGCTGCAAACATGGATACAGACTGAGGGATGAGTGGATTGAAAGCAGCCCAGAAAGCCAGTCATATGCTGGGCTATATCTAAAGGAGGCTTAACTAGTTGAGGGGGTGAGTCTCCCTCTGCTGTTTTGTACTGCGTCCAGCTCTGAGACCCCCAGCGTAAGACATGGGCCTGGGAAGCATGTTCAGGGAAGGGCCATCGAGATAATCATAGGGATGGACACCTCCCCTGAGACAACAGGCTGAGAGAGTTGGGGTTGTTCTGCCTGAAAAAGAGGAGGCTCCAGGGAGACCTTCTAGCAGCTTTCCAGTACCTGAAGGGAGCCTATAAGGAGGATGTGGAGGGATTGCTTATCTAGGAGTATAGCGATAGCACAGGGGATAACAGTATTAAACTGAAAGAGATTTACATTGGATTTTATGAAGAAATTCTTTACTGTGAGGATGGTGAGACACTGGAACACATTACCCAGAGGAACTGTGGGTGCCCCATCCTTGGAACTGTTCAAGACCTGTCTGGGTGGGGCTTTAAGCAGTCAAAGGAACGAGGTGATCTTTAAGGTCCTTTCTGCACCAATCTATTCTATGATTTTATGAAATATAGAAATGTTTTTTCAAGTGTTTGTCCAATGTCCCTGTTGCAGCTAGGATAGGAGTCAAAAATACTTGTGTAGCAGACAAGAGAGGTTGAGAATTAACAGCAGTTCAGTAGAGAAGAAAAACTGAATATTTCTGCATGTTGGCCATTTCAGATGGATTAAGAATTTATCATCTACCATTCATTTCCTTATGAGAAATGCCTTTCCTTTATGTACATAGTACATATGCATGTTCAAATATGTATGTATCTGTATTGCTGCAACCTAAGCAAAGAAAGCATTTAGCATCCTGTAGTTTCAGCCTTTCTAGGCTCAGCCGAATTTTATTTTCTTCATTTGCAGTAGTTTGTGTTGCATCATGGAGAAGATAGTCCTGGTTTGAGAAAGCTTACCCCTTAATATAATAGAAAATAGAAGATGGGATGTATGGGTAACATGTAGTAGGAGTAATTCCATCTGCAGATTCCTCCATGGGTATATAGGACATGTACCTGTGTAAATATATCTAGAAAGGAGTCATTCTTTTGAAGTATTTTTGGGAGGAGAACAGAATAGGTTCTCTAAACTAAAACTGACCCTGCATTACATAGAAACACACATAGAAATATCCTGGAAAATAATGGAAAGTTGAAAAAGTATCCAATGGAATTTTAGGATGTTATTTTTGAGGCTATTATTTAACTCTGAATGTTAATAAAAAGTGAAGGTGACAACAATAAATAAGGAAACATTACTTTTGCCACCAAAACAAGGGATTCTGGATCTCTTGAACTAAAATGTACTGCTAAAAGGATTTGAAAGCAGCTTTCTGCTCTAAGACCAGAAATTGAATTATGTACAGCATTAAGATTTAATGTCCAGTTAAAGTCGTGTCTGCTGGAATAGTTTGGTGTCTTCCTTTCCAGCATCATAGAAGACTCAACAGATAAGTTGATTTCCCCTCACTATAGCATTAAATAGAAGAAGACTTTTTTGAAGCTTCAAAATGTGGTAGAGTTTTCATCATTTTATATTGTGATGAATGTTGTATAACTGTTTTATATTTTCAAGTGATATTGTGAATAATTCACTTCTTCCTGTAAAAGAAAGTGTTTCAGAGGTGATCAGCATCCTTAAATAAGTAAATCGAGAGTATAAAAATCTGTTCTGAATTTAGATTTACCCCGCTCAGGTGACCTGTAGCTGACATTAGTAACAACTAACTGAAAAGTTAAGGGAAATGCCTTTCTGAACTGTTTATTTTAAAAGAGTCTACACTCTGAAAGGTATTCTTCAGCTCTAATATGTCTAATAGCATCAGTATTTAGAGGCAGCCCACAGTCCGTGGTTTGATTTGAGGTGTTATTTTTGTGCTTTTGGTGCAGATCAGAATGGGCGGATCACTAACAGAAGTGTTTGGTTTTAGCAACTGCTGTTGCTTTCACTGTTGAGAGAGAAGCATGAGGATATGGGCATATCTAAATTTAGGTGATTGACATGAGGCTAAAAAGACACTTTCTGCAGTTTACTTGCTTGTTTATATGCATTTAGGTATATATTGGTAGTCTAAAGACAGAATAAGCAGAGGAAAGACAATGGAAGTAGTCCAATAAACCACATTCAAGCCTTCTCTCACCTAGAACTGAAGAGATACAGGGAAGTGCTGAATTTGACATACTTTTTTCCTTTTTTTTTTTTTTTACATTCCTGTTGTTCACAGACTTCACAGGTTAAAAATAGTCAGCAAAACATAAACATAAAATCATAAAACAGACATCTGTCACATTCATTGAAATACCTCATATGCATACTCTTAAATTGAGTAATAGACATATTACTGGGAATCTGGTTTTGATAAGCCCATATCCTAAATACAAGGGAAATAACTGCAGTTAACAAAGACGACCTAAGATCTAGTAAGCACATATTTGCTGTTAATACTCTTTATCTTTTGATTCCTTAGCAGTAGAAGATAGGAAGTTGTTTATTGGAATGATATCCAAGAAGTGCAATGAAAATGACATTCGAGTGATGTTCTCCCCCTTTGGGCAGATTGAAGAATGCAGGATACTACGGGGCCCGGATGGCCTGAGCCGAGGTAGGCAAAGCAATAAGCTTTTTTGGCAGTTTGAGGATGCTGGATGCTGCCTTTTGCAACTCAACCTGGCATTTGAGCTTGTTCTGTGATTCCCACCTACACGGCCTCCTGCCCAGTAAGCATTTTCTTTCCTGTATTCATCTCAATAATTGTGGAGGTAGTGAATAACTTGATTCTTTTTTTGTTCTTTCCCCAGGTTGTGCATTTGTGACTTTTACAACAAGAGCCATGGCACAAACAGCAATCAAAGCAATGCACCAAGCACAAACCATGGAGGTAAAACACGTTAATGGGTGTCAGGAGCAGATGTAATTGTCAGGCAGTCACTGTGGAGTTTCAGGGACTAGAGAGCAGAGAGAAGGACAAGTGCAGTTGTGTGTTGCTTCACAAAAACTGCTCCTGGATCATTGTGTTTGTTTTGCTCTATTTTTAAATGAGTTGGAGATTGAAACTTTATCTGCAGAGAAAATACCAAAATACAAAATAGAATTAAAAGCAAACAAGATTTTGAGCCTTTGATGAAATGTTCTGTTTGGAAAAAAAAAATATATATGTCTGTATATATGCATAGAGGAGGAGAGGAATGATTCCAATGACTGGGACTTAATTCAGTATTTTTGTGGCTGTTGGGGATAGCAAGTATGTAATTGTTTGAATTGCTGTTTGCAGGGTTGCTCTTCTCCCATTGTTGTAAAATTTGCAGACACGCAGAAGGACAAAGAGCAGAAACGAATTGCTCAGCAACTTCAGCAACAAATGCAACAGATCAGTGCTGCCTCAATATGGGGAAACCTGGCTGGTCTCAACACACTTGGACCCCAGTACTTAGCAGTGAGTTTCTGATTTGGGTTGTTTTCATCTCTTCAAGCATTGGAGTGTCTGACTGTCTTGCAGTGTTTGATATATTAATTTTTAGAAGGCTCCTGCAATGTAGGAGCTGGGTTCTAAATCCCCATTTTGTGGATGAGAAGGCTGAAATCGTGTTATGTGCTCTCATCTAGTTGGGGTACTTTTATGGGAGCATTTCAACCCCAGTCACAGTAGCCCTAATTTACTGAAACCTTGGGTTTTTCTCCTGCATTCTGTAGATTGTGCTTTTTCTTTATATAGTACTGCCTCAACGTTTACCTTATAAATGCCCTTTTCAAGTCTGATAGTTCTTGTATTCCTTTATCATTTTCCTTTATTTCTGTCATCCTTTTCCAGTGAAACCTGGAACAGTACGTGGTACTGTCCATATAGAAAGGATGATCAGATTGGAAGCAAAGTAAATAAACCCAAGCAACAACCAACCAAATAAAAGCAAACCCTACAGAAAACAGAGAGAAGCTATTCTGTTTAGCAAAAATGATATAACAGAGGGTAGACTGCAGTGTCATTTCAGTTGATTTTACTGGGTTCCTAAAGGATGAACTTTTTAAAAACTGATGTGCTGTGACTCATGAGAGTTGCCAGTGTAGCTCTGACAACTGTATTCATGTAATATTAAGTTTGAGGAACAGAAAAGGAAAATTTCATCTCATTCTTGGTATGGTGTATAGTTGAAATGGGACAATTCTCTTACTACTTTTTTAGTTTTGGTAGATTGGAATTTTTTTAATAACAGCTAGTTAATAGAAGAAGGATTTGGAAATCTCTAAAAACCTTCTGAGCTGAAGGTTAAAGTGTCTTTTATGTCTGCTGTGCGTAAGGAGAGTAGAGGAGGTTCCCTCTTCTTGTGGCTCCTTGGTTTTGGTATGGCATTGCCATTTGTCCCATGCTGGCAGTGTCAGCTGTACAGTCTGTTTTGAGGTAGCATATCCTTAAGTGTGACAGTCCTGCCTTAGGTGCTTTGAATAGGAATTGTCTCTCACTCGTGATTCTGCTGGTTTTGTCTTGGAGTGTTGGCTATCATTTTCTCTCAGCATTGCTGATGTTGAGTGAGGAAAGCATTGTGCTGTTGCTTTGGCTGCAAAGTGCTGCATGGGCTACGTGGAGCTTCACTGTGGTGGTGCTCTGGCTGTGTTTACACTTTGCTGTGGAGTGGTGCATGGGCTGCAGGAATTAATTTGTGACGGCGCTCTGGCTGTGGTGTGATGCAGTTTCTCCCAGAAGCAGAGCCAGCCCTCACTCTCACTCTTGTTTTGTTTTTTGGTGTAATGTCTAGCTTTATTTGCAGCTCCTTCAGCAGACAGCAGCTGCTTCATCTGGGAACCTGAACACACTGAGCAGCCTCCACCCAATGGGAGGTGAGTTTTCTTCCACCAGAAGACAAATTCAGGGCCAAACAAAAGCAAACAAGGGTAGACGAAGTAGCCAAAAGGCTGTTGTAGGCATTTTAATCTCATTTGAAATGAGTAGTCCTGTTTGCCTACTCCTTTGAAATGACAAGAATTCTCTGCTACAAGTGTGGATGTTCCTTCTTAATCTTACTTAACTATTGTCCCCAAGGTAAGTGGTGGTATCTCTCCAACCTCTGGCATTTAAAATTGTCTTACCTTATGGGTAGCAAAAAGAGTGCTCTCTATATTTGCTTTCATCCAAAAGGTGCATATGTGAAGAACTGTGTTTTTTAAATAGGCACTCACTAATGCACGTGGTTTCAGTGATTCTGGATTCTTAGTTTTCCCATTTTCAATACATTTAAGAACAAAGCATTTAAGTTGGAAGTACATTGTTGTTAGGAATGTAAGCTAATGCTTCTTTCAGATTCTTTTATTCATTTATTTGAATTACAGTTCATTATGCCATTACTGTTATGGAAAATCAGCTTCAGAAATAAGAGCCAAATTCCTTGCTGTGGACTGCTAGTCAGAACATTCATTGAGCATAGCAGTCTTGGAGCTGTAAATAGGTTGTCACTTTTGTCTTCACACAGTTGGGAATAATAAAACACATGTTAGCAACTCCATTCACCACGTTCTCTAAATTCTTCTGCTGGCAGAGAAATCTATAGTTTTGATTTTAATACTGAAGACTTATAACTTTTCAAATTGCCTCCTGGAGTTTAATGGTAGTTGCCAATATCACATGCCCTTTCTGTGCAGAAGTTCATCCAAAAGTGTCTTTGTAGATCTGACTTCTGTTGGCTGGTGCACCCATCAGTAACAATTACAAGTGTTTGCAAAGTGTTAGATTTTAATTTGTAAGAATTTTGATTTATACTGGAAGTTGATTCCAAATTCAGCTTGCTACATGGATTTCTTTCATGTTAGACCTCGTCAGAGCTCTTAGATCTAAGACTCGTGCAAAAACTAACTTTTTTAAAAAAAACATTTCACTAATATCACAGGGGGGGTGATCTATAAATGATTTTGTTGTGCACATGATCCTGCCTTTCCCGCTTCTTGTGTCTGCTTAAAAACAAGATGTAATAAAGAAGAAAGTACAGCAGTAAGGACTGGGGCAGAGGGAAGGGGATAACTGTCTGAGATTGAGAAGTTTCCAGGGTAATTCTTTCTTCACTATTAAAAAAAAAAAAAACAAAAACAAACAAACAAAAAAACCCCACACCTTAAAAACTGAAAATCCAGACATATAAATAGTATGTTGCATCTCTGTCTGTGATTCCCTACCAAAAAAGTTGTAGTTTTAAGATCTTGATAATATCTCAGCTGATGTTCTTTCTTGAAATTCATAGAAAGAAAAATTAAGTAGGTTATTAGATCCCACACTTGATCAGACTTTGCAGACAGAATTTAATCTCGACGCTGCTTGAAAGCAGACGGGAAAACAGTATGATGACAAGAGGACAGGTGCAGCGTGCACATGACAAACTGCTTCAGTGAGGAACAAGCTGCTCTGTTCTTCATTAGCTCCAACACTTGCACTTTTAACCCTCTGTAGCACAATAAAAGCAAAGTAGAAAACTTCTTGATTTTAATTCATGCTTTTATGTTACAATGGAATCTTGAGAATCTAAATGAAGGCAGAATTCACTTGTTTTGGGAATTACATTTGCCAAAGGAAACACATCCTGCCACAAACAGAAAACCACTGAAAAAGAGTTAAAAAAAACCAAAGAAACTATACTAAAGGTATTAGAAGTACTTTAGAAAATAATTCATTTGTAATGCATTGTCACATTCTTATGCTGTCTGTTGGCTGCTTAAATTACAAAACTGATGTTTTAATTATTTGAGATGTGTGCTTTTCTCCCAAGGTCTTACTGAGTATCCAAAGGATGAGATACCACCTCTGCTTAGGATGTTCTGATGTTTTTAAATGAAGGGTGATTAATTTAGTTTTGTTTCTAATTATGTTGGGAATAAGTATTAGGGATTGTCTGAAGTCAGATGGAGAGGAGGAATTGTTTAAATAATCAAAGTTAGAGACAAAAAATTGAAAATAAGAGAAAAGTGAAGGAAGGCAGAATTGGAAGAATGGAGCTAGTCTGCCAAAGGATGGTTACAATTCAGGAGGAGATCCATTCTAATGGATCCTCTGGCAGAAAAAGAGAGCAAAATACAGTCAGTACTGAGCAAATGGTTTCATTCAAAAATGGTGGCTCAAAATGAAGGTGTGTCAGATGAATAAATTGGCTAGTAAAATTCATAAACACAGGGGTCCCTTCCTCCCCCTGCAGTATTCCTTGCTACCATCACACAGCATGCCTGAGGTTTCCTGTTTTCCTTTCCAGTGGGTTTGACCAGCCTACACATATATTGGTTGATCCTGCGGCCGCAAGCTGCCACTTAACAACTATCTCACAATTGACTGTTGCTTCTTGGCTGCCAGGGGGACCAAACAAAACATGCTGATTCTCATCTGATGATGGGTTGAAGCCACGACTTTGTGGCCTCTGTGGTGTGAGACCTTCATGAAAGAATTTTTCAGTTACTGCTGTCCACATACAAAGAGTATGGAGGGACATAAGAGTGGGAGAAGTTGTTGGCCTGGTGTCTGGGCAAGTTCTGAAGCTTGCACATGAGCTCTCACTCAGACCCTGGCTTCACTCCTATGTTTTGTTAACTGGAGAGAGCACTGCTCGAAAATTTCTGTCCTTTGTAGTCTCCGTCTGGCATAATGACTACCTGGCCTTTCTCAGAATCGCGTCTGTCTGGGCGAAGAAAAATATAGCAAGGAACTGCGATGTAGGAAAGATCAGTAAAACTAGTATTAAGCCTGTTGCTTTTAAGCTCCTTCCCACTGGTGCCTCGTGATGAGCTTGCTGTTTGTGTTACACGTGGGTGACGTGGCTGTGCCAGGAGACACTGGGCATTCCTCCCTGTGTTGCAGGACTGAACGCGATGCAGTTACAGAACCTGGCCGCCTTGGCAGCCGCGGCCAGCGCGGCTCAGAACACACCCAGCGGCACGGCTGCGCTCACCTCCTCCAGCAGCCCCCTGAGCGTGCTCACCAGCTCAGGTAAGAGACTGCCCCTGCATTGCCCTGGAAGTCCTTTCAGGATAGATGTCACCTGTTTTGTCTATCCCTTTTTGTCACTTTCATGTTGATTTTTAATAGAGAAACAGTTTACTAGTGGATTCACTGGCCTCTGTTTAGGATAGATATCTTTGCCACTAGCAAAAGCTTTTTTACCTGCTGTGTCTCTTCCTCCAAATGGTCAGATTAATTTAGAGTAAAAAGAATTTTTGAGGTCATCATGAAGCAGAAAGGTAGGTGACCTCCTTCAAGTCGTATTATTACAATCTCATCATATACTTGCTTTATGTGTGATTTTAGGCAGGTACTGGTAAATACACCCTGTTACTTTCAATATGGAAAGAGAAAATGCCTTTAGTATGAGGTAATGCGTTCTGTGCACTAGAACAGTATAATTTATATTCCATAAATGAAGAGAAGAATATTATAACTTCCTCATAAAAGTAGAATAAACAGACACCTAGCACTTCACTGGAAAGTAGTTGTCTAGAATTTAGTGTATGAGTTGCACATAAAAATCAGTATCTTCTTTTTGTGTGGCTTTTTTGTGTTTTGGTTTTTTTTGAGTTGGGTTTTTTAAACTTTAGGTTATGTACATTAACAAGAGATACTAGAATGTCCAAATAGTGTTCTTTTGCTGCCTTGTTGTTAAATTTCATCATTAAATGCAACAAGCAAAAAGCTAAAAATAAATTCAATTGTGCTTATGGCAGACATACTAAGCTTTTATCACAAATGAGGGTCAGTATTCTGCTCAGTTATTTCTATCCTATTTTGAGTTATTACTAAATCCTAGCATGGGAAGGGAGACCCTGTATTTTCAGAGTGACAGTTTTCCAGCATCTCTGGCTTCTGTCCTAGAGAGTTGACATCCTCGCCTGTGACTGTGAGAGACCAAAGAGGGTTGGAAGGAGGGGGTTTTAAATTTCCACAGGTAGATTTTGAGTTGCGTAGGAGGACCAAGGAGGCCAGCTAAGAGATTATAAAGAGATTACAAGGAAAAGCTGTTTAGAAAACCTTCTGTCACATGACTGGGAGTTAAACCATGGGTGCTTTGCACAGTTTTCTACTTAAAGAAATTCCCAAGAAATAATTAGTCCAGAGTGTTCTCTCAACACTCAAAGAGTGTTCACTCAAAGAGTGCAGGACATTTTTTGCATAAAAATTTCATGGTCTGCAATCCTTAAAAGATTGAAATTTTAAAATTTGTCTCGACTCATAGCTATGTATCCTATTCTATAATTAAAAACCAAAAGAAAACAAACAAAAAACTATGAAGAATTCAGACTACAGAAAAGCTGCATTCATAGCCAACTAATGCTTCTTCATCATAAAGCAAGCATGAAGGTGAATATATCTGACAGTTTCTCCTATATTTCCTCATGCTTTGTCAGGTTACAATTTGTTGAGATTGGCATTTAAAACTAAGATTTCCTTATTGGCTGTCTAGTCTGATGACTGCAGCAAGTTTATTCTCTGTTTTGTTGAGGTGGAGAAGGGCTGGCAGGTTGTGAAGTTCAAACGTCAGATGTGCTAGAAAAAGCAGACACAGCCCCTTCTCAGAAGTGTGCAGTGAAAAGACAAGGGCAATGGACACAAGTTGCAGCCAAGAAAATTCTGATTAGATAGAAAAATAAAATTATTGGCAAGAGTGTTCAGGCTCAGGAACAAGGTGCCAGAGGGGCTGTGAAATCTCCATCATTTCAGAGACTGAGAATTCAGTTGGAAAGGACATTTTCAAGTTCAGAGGTTAGATCAGCTCTGAGCAGAATGTTAGGATAATCTACAGAGGTCTCTTTCAAATGAAGTTATGCTACTATTCAGTGATTCTTTGGAGTTTGCTTCCCCTCTGTGAATTTTGGCTGTTCCACAGAACTATGCAGGTTCCTTTTTCCTTGATGAGAGACATATTTCAGGATTCTGTTCCATTTTTTATCATGCTCTTGGAGGGGCTTAGGGGTAGGAAGTAGCCAGTGCTTTCTGTGCTCAATTCAAATAACCTTCTGATCATCAGTCATATCACTAAATGGTTGTTTGTCAACAATTCAGTTATCATGGTGGATTATTTGTATTAATATCCTTTACAAATTTATCAATTAACTCTTCACAGGCCTGTAACATGAAGCAGGCACTATTGTATTGCTCTTTAAACCTAATTTCAAATATCATTTTAAGTAGTAAAAATTAGCTTTGTTCAAAAGACATAAAAAGTTTTGAAGGGTGTGTTGTCTATAAGTAGTCACTAACATCAAATTCTGAAACAGTTCTAGTGCTTTTTGTTAGAGGTATAAATGCACTTCACCTTTTAGGACTACACTCAAACTGGGATGACTGGAAGCCTCAATGTGTACAGACACATTCAATCCTATGATACTTCCTGTAATTATACAGCTTTTTGACTCTTTAGTCTTCAAGTAAACTTGAGATTCTGTTTTGATTAATACTCATATGTGCATTCACTCTGTATATGTTCACATAGAAGGCAGTTGGGCTCCACACAGAAAACATCTATCCCTCCTGAACCACACACAGACCTTGAAGAAATTCAGTATATAGCAGTTCAGTACCATGTGTTAGTAAGTGCCTGCCTTGTCTGAGGGACATATGGCAACATCTTCTGTGATAACCTCTTAAACCTAACTGCAGATGAGATGACTAACTCCTTGACTTCTCTCCATCTGTCATCCAAATGTTCACCTGATGCTTATTTGGACATCTCTACTCAAATTGCATAATTGGTGGAAAAATCCAGACAGTCTTCTGCACAGTTGCCTTCTTGATTTTCTTTCATCTGCACTGATGTAATTTGTATCTGGGGAGCTTGGAAGTCTACATAGTGCACTCCATGGACTTATGGATGGGTTACATGTTGGAATGGTGGAACTCAGAGGGGTTTAAGTATTGTTGTTGTGCTGCCTTCCTACCCATTTCAGACAATTTTCTTTAGATAGTTCTAAGCACTGTCCAAGTTGTGTATTTTGAATGGAGTGAAGTAAAACCTTCAGCCTTGCTGAAGGTCAGCTCTTGGAACTGAACAGTCTGCTGCTGTTATGTAGTCGTCATTGCAGAGACCATGGCTGTAAATAAACTCAAACTGCTAGCTTGTGAAAGGAACATCCAAGGAAGTACTATAGAAGTATCTCAGGTTAGGAGTGTCCTGTCTGTCATCTTTTTGACTTGAGCACCAATAATAATTATCTACTTCAGAGGAAAATAGAATGGTTGCAAACACTGAGGTATGTTTCAGTTTCTCTTCCTTCCAAAGGCAACCTCAAAGCTTACATGATTTTCCTGGCCTTGATGTGACAACAAGAAGATTGTTTTCAGAGATAGCAGAATATTTCTGGTTTTACTGGAACTAATTCATGTACAATTCAGTCAGATTCATCACCTGAATTTAACTTTTCTTTAGGTCATTGCTCAGATGCTACATGACTTAATTAGGACAGACTTACTGTTCTCTCAGTTTACCTACCTCCACAAGTTGCTACTTGATGTCCTTATCTGAGTTTCATCTTCTTTCTAATAATATGTCTTTCAGTATCTTTCTACAAAGCTGTTCTTTATTACATTTTCAAATTTTCTTAAAATCTTCTTAAGCATTTTCAGCTACTTCTGTTAGAGTTAGCCTTTTTTACTAGATATACCTCAGTATGTAGATCTAAGAAAACATAACCTTAGCAGCAAGAAAAAATCCCAACAGTGCACCAAAAACTGCACAGAAACAACATTAAGAATTAGGGATAGAGTAAAGAAAATGTATAAAACAATATGGATTTCCCATTCCCGTTGCTTTGTTCTATATCCTGATCTAAAATATAACACAGGAGAAACAGAAGAACAGAAATTATGACTAAAACCATGAAACTCCTTTGCTTTTAGGAATAGTCTGAAAAATAGAAGACTGACATGTGAGAAGGATATGATTACAGCTTACAAATACCTTATTGTTGTGATGAAGATGAATAGGGAAAAAACAGACATTAGATATTTTAACAACAGAATTGCAGGATATCAGGTCAAGTTGCCACCCGATCATTTAAAAATAAAAGCCATATTTTTTCTTAGCATAGTGCATGATTAAATTGCAGAAGTTGTGCCTTTGAACAGAGTAGAGTCCAACAATTTGGTTTTCACATTGCACTAAAATTAATGAATGAAAATTGTAACTTTGTAATAAAGGCATTGCCTTTGGCTGAAAAAATCCTACATTCACAGATGGCTCTGTTGGCATATAGGCTATACACAGGAAGCATTCCTTTGTAATTGCCCTGTATTTCTGCTCTACTGTTACTTATCTACCTTTTGTCATCATCAGAAATCGGATGCTATCTTCAATTCCTGTGCACACAGGATAAAGAAAATACAGACAAGTCTTTAGTTTTCTCAGCATTTTCGGTACTAAAACATTTCTTGTTTTGCCTAAAGAAATTTCTCATAAAGGCAGCTAAACTAAAATAACTGTGATCAGCTTTTTATAGTGGTTTAACTTAACTTATTTAAAATCAGTCTTTTAAAGTAGGGAAAGTATCCATTTTCCCTCTCACTTTGTTCTCTAGCCATTATTTTCCTTAGCTGCTGCTATTTTATTTGGGATAGGTTTGGAAGGGTTTTTAAATGGTGTTCTCATCTGTCAAATATAGTGTCTATTTGAATTATAAAGATCAGCAGTGAAATGTTGCAGAAACAAGTGGTATTCTAAAATCCAGGTAACTGTATGATTTCTGAACTCTGGTTTTTATTCAGCCAGCTGTGCTAATTTTTCTTCCAGCTTGAGGGTTATACTGTAACTTGTTCCCTGTGTTTTCCCAACATTTAACATGCTACTGATAGTAAGACAGGAAGTGTCTCCTTTTCATTAGAGTAAGCATCTTAAAATAGTTTGGGACATTGACTTTCAGTTTTTTATTTATTAGAACAGTTTGTCTTAACATGTACTAGAGGAGGTTTGTCATTCCATCTGTTATTACAGAAAGTGGTATGAAGTGCAGCTCTGGTTCTCATGCAGCTTTGGTTAGGTACAGCTACTTTAGTTGGGGGAGTTGTTAGGCTGTATTCCATTTAAATAGTTGCAATATCCCACGCCAGCAGACACTTTATGCCACAAAGATGAAATGGTAAATATTAAGTGTGTGTGAAACTACTTGAAAGATGCTGACAATTCTTTTAAAAGTTTTAATGGATGTATGCAGCATAATTGAGAATCACAAAAACATGAGGAAAATTGGAAACTCCTCCAATTCAATTTTTCTCTTATCTCCTTGGTCAAACTGTTAAATTCCTCTTGCAAACAGATTACAAGATGCCTCTACAGCATCAGTCTTCAATATCTTTTAATTTTTAGCATCCATAAATATTTTCTAGTGCATTTTATGCAGTAAATATAAATATCTTGGTTAATAGCAATACATATAGCTTTTCTTCTGCAGAAAATACTATGCATTTCTTATTTTATCATGTCCAAAATCTTTGTAGATGATCTCAGTGTGAACTTCTTTTTCTTTTGACATACCAGCTTTTTTTTTTTTCTCATGATTTTGATGTTGGCTTCCGTAGAACTAACCCTACCTGGTGTAGAATTTGGTGAGCCATGTAAGCTGTTACTGTCCTAGGTACTATATTGATAGACTTCTCTAGCTGAATCAATGTAGTTGAAGATGTTGCTGGAATAGAGGACGAGCTGTTTATTTTTGGATGTACATTTCAAGATTTCTCTCAGTCCTAGCCCCAGCTGCGGCAGCAGGATTTTTAATAGAAAATTATTTAATGTGTCAAAATAATCTGGGCATGTGGTGTTCCTGTTCTGGCAGTATGGGAAAACCGTATGTTCAGCCTTTTTTAATGTCCCTACTACCTGTGTTGCAGGTCTTTTTCACCTTGAGTGATGTTTCAAGGATATGTGTTAATACATAGCAAGTGACTCTTACTTTAGACAGCAGGAAACAGGGCATCACTGCTGGTTACCTTATGTTGAGATACAGTTTAGCCAGTATTTGTTTAATGTCTCAATCTTAGATGTCTTACTGACATTATTATTGCTACAAAGAGTAGATGTTATGATGAAGTAGAATTTTTTTAAAATGTAGGAAGGGCTTAGAACATATAAGCAGTATGACCAAGTAAGTTGTGTGGGTTTGGGGTGGTTTTTTTTTACATAAAATATCCTGTGTTCCCTGAATCTTCTCCTTACTAGTTTTTCCTACTGGAATAACTTAATGAAGAAGTTGAATTATCAGGACTAAAAAATATTGGTTGAAGTTTAATTGTTTTATTTTAATAGCAGGTTCCTCACCTAGTTCCAGTAGCAGCTCCTCTGTTAATCCAATGGCTTCTCTTGGAGCTTTGCAGACACTGGCAGGTGCTACAGCAGGCCTCAACGTTAGCTCTTTAGCAGGTAAGTTATGTGTAGTGCTGGCTTGGGGGAATAGCTGATTCTCATTCCTCAGCCTGAATAGGTCTCTGGGGTGATTTTTTTGCTCCCTGCTTTTTGTAATTGTGCAGAGCATTTGAAAGGTTATTGATCTGGCTCAGTGGAAGCACTCAGTCATCTTTTATTTCCTTTTTCTTATACAGGAATGGCAGCCTTAAATGGAGGACTTGGCAGTGGTGGTCTCTCAAATGGGACAGGTAGCACCATGGAAGCCCTCACACAGGCTTATTCTGGAATCCAGCAATATGCTGCTGCTGCACTGCCCACACTCTATAACCAGAGTCTCTTAACACAGCAGAGTATTGGTGCAGCAGGAAGTCAAAAAGAAGGTAGGCAGAAAGTTATAGAAGCTACTTGAGACGGGTTTTCAAAAGGGCAAGCTTAGCCCTTGCACCTTCCTTGCCTGCAGATTTTTTTTATTTGGTGTCATTTCTTAGAATCCAGGAGTTACTGAAGATTAAAAAGGTCTATGGGATCTTTCTACTAAGGGCTGCTCAAAGTAGTTTTTATACAGGATGTTTCTCATGGGATTTGTCTGGTCTTAAGTGCTTCCTTAATTATACTCCTGAATGTTCTCAGAGGGAAGCAGAATATGAGTCCACAGCCTGACAGATCCCACTGTCAGAGAATCAGATGTGGTTTTGTTAATGTTGTTTTCTGGGTCCTTCACCTCTTCCAACAGCTACTTAATGCCAGTTTTTTCACTCTTCAGATTCAGGTTAAATTTAATATGTAATGTAATGTACAATGTAGGAGTAAGTTTTCAGCAAAATGTAGCGTGTTTAGAAGAGAATCTGTCAGATTGCAAGCAATGTGATTATTTGTATTTTGTTTGGAAATTTACTTAATTGCTTTGGGACCACAGGTTTTGCATATCCATTTTTTTTGTTCAGTCAACATCTGAACAAAGCACTCAAACTTTACTGTTCAGCTGTCATTACAGTTTTGTGAACCAGTTTTGACACAATGTGTAAAGTACAAACAAAAGTGGTCAGAAAGAGCTAGAATTATTTGAGTGATCAATCCCAGCAAAGGTTATTCTGGAATCAAGTCTGCAGGACTGTAAACAGTAATTTCATTGTTTTATCTAGAAAATTTGTCTTGACTGTCTCTTCCACCTTTTTTGTGCAGTGGGTATGTGATATCCATGCTCTTTCTGAATTTATTTTCTTACTTGTTTGAAGGTCCAGAGGGAGCCAATCTGTTTATCTACCATCTTCCCCAGGAGTTTGGGGATCAGGATCTGCTGCAGATGTTCATGCCATTTGGAAATGTCGTCTCTGCCAAGGTTTTCATTGACAAGCAGACCAATCTAAGCAAGTGTTTTGGTATGTTGGATCTACAGCTTCCTTTGAGGGGAAGCAGTGGGGCAGACATTGATCTCTTCCTTCTGGTGACCAGTGACAGGACCCAGGATAAAAGCTGGGTATGGGGAGGTTTAGGTTGGATATTAGAAAAAGGTTTTTCACCCAGAGGGTGCATGGGCACTGGAACAGGCTCCCCAGGGAACTGGTCACAGCACCAGCCTGACAGAGTTTAAGGAGTGTTTGGAAAGTGCTCTCAGATGAACAGTGTGATTCTCAGGGACTTCAGTGATCTTAGTGGATCCATTCCAACTCAGGATATTTTGTTATTCTAATAAATCATTACCTGTAAAAAGGTGACTTTCATAGTAATCTCTTTTTCAGTATATTGTCTAGTCTAGCTATTAACTAAGTAGGGAATCTATATATTCCTAATAAATAAATAAACCAAATGCTTCCACCAATAAACTGTATTTTCCTGATTTTCAATGTGACTTTTTGCTTTTCACAGTTTCATACTATTGTGCCCTATTATAGTGTTCTGACCACAGATATTTCTCACTGAGATTAGTTCAGTTGGTTGGAGCACTGTGCTAATAATGCCAAGGCTGTGGCTTCAATCCCCTTTTGGGCCATTCACTTAGGAGTTGGATTCCTTGATCCTTGTGGATCCCTTCTAACTCAAAATGATATGTGATTGTTATTTGTGTTTGCAGACTGGAATCTTGAGAGAGTTCTTCCTCTTGCCTCTTCCTATCTTTTCAATAGTTTCAATAATAATTTGTATATATTACTTAGCACATTATGATTATGAATTATTTCTCTTTATAGATATAACTATTGTGGTTACCATATTGCATTTTTGTGGTGCTGTAACCTCTCATGACTGTTATATGGAGATTTCTTGTGATGGAATGGGAGAGGCACACCTTTCTCTATGGTTTTGATAGCTTTATGTCTACATAAAATCCTGAATTTTTTCTTATTTCAGCCAAAAGTTTGGACAATCTGATGCTTTGTGAGAGCACAGAAATATGCTGATCATTCAGCTATAACACATATATGGACACATTGCCATTGACTGGAGTGGGAGTTATTTTCACTTCAGACATTGAGTGGAGTTATTTAAAATAGGATCCTTCAAAACACTGGAGAAGTTTATTTTCAGGGTAATCTTTCCAGGAATGATGTGCAACCTTCCATCTGAGAGCAACCTAAACAATAGTGGTGCCAGTGCTACCCTTCCTTGGCAGCTATTTCACTCCAAACAAATCTTCTCCCATAATGTCATGAGGGTGGTTCCTGTCTTGTATCTTTAATGAGCTTTTTGTATCTGTAATGAGCTTTTGCATCTGGATGAACATTTTCCAGGTTTGGTTTTCTCACAGGTATGAGTTCTTGTAAACAGCAGTACTTATTTTGTTGATACACTGAAACATGTTGATTTCCCAAGCTGTGTATATCTTCTGGCCAAAGTGCCCAAGTTCCATATGTCAGAAAGCAATGCATTGTTTGAGAGCTTTAGAAGTTATTATGAGGAGTCTGAAACAGTTGTGAGCTTCTGAAAGTGGCACTTCATGCAGTTCTCTCCGACCTTGTGAGTGCCTGCGTTTCCATTTGTGAGTAGCCATTACAGGCAGCTCTGGCCCGGGGTAATTGTGTGTTTTCCTCTCCTCAGGTTTTGTAAGTTACGACAATCCTGTCTCTGCGCAGGCTGCCATTCAGTCAATGAACGGCTTCCAGATCGGCATGAAGCGGCTGAAAGTACAGCTCAAGCGCTCCAAGAACGACAGCAAGCCATACTGAGCACCCTCCCCTCCGGGACTGGAGTGAGAAGGATCTTCTGGTAAGTTGGAGAGGAGCGCACTTAGTGATTCGAAGCCCTAAGGCTGTGTTTTTACAGTCCTGGAAGCTGATCCATGCCTTCTATCTGGCACATCTTCCCTCGAAGACTCTGCTGCAGCCTCTGCTGAGAATCCTGCTTCGGATGGAGGACAAGTTTGTGCTTTTGTTTCCAGTGTTTTACTTTGGAGTTTAGGTGCCATATCGCTGAGGTTTTTTTGTTTAGTTTTGTTTTTTTTTTTTCCTCCCTTATTTGAAGTTTGCTGTGTTTGTAACCAGTGTGTGTTGAGAAGGACCAATGCCAGCTCCTTGGGGGTGGGGAGAGAAGGTTAAAGGGAGCAGCAGAAACTGACACCACACTGCCTTGGGGTAGAGAGGAGAAGGGAAAGCAGAAATAACGCGGAACAGCTGATGAAAACAAAGATGGGCAAGGAGAACAGAGTCCTGGGTGAGAAAGAACTGGCTCCATGTAGCCTTTGTCATGCCCCATCTGCTCTTTGAAATTTCCTTAACTGTATGTCACAGTGGGGATTTAATAAATCATCTCTAAAGCAGGAGACGGGCTAAAAGGGTGAACACATTAACAAGCCAAAGGAAAACTGCAGTGATTTTTTTTTCTTTGCTGTATATAAACTAGGGTCTGTATAGCAGTGTGAATGTACACAGCACTTTATAAAACTATTAAATAATGTCTCTGCCCAGAAAATTTCACACTCTATCTACAGTGGAATATTAATGAGATGCAGTGAATTTCTCCTTGTATAAGAAAACTTAACCTATGTACTTCATCTAGGTTTTGTGGAAAGGTAGAGGCAGCTTAGTGTGGATGAATACATCTGGGTCTGGACACAATAAACTTTAGATCCCTGGTGACCTGCAGAAATTTTTGACAATTTTTCTTCTTAACAGTTGATCACATTGCCCATTTCTGTGGAATAATGTCCTTTTTTTGCAGAGATTGCTATGAATTCCTTTTCATAAGCATAATGTAAGTGCTGATTGTTTATTGAAATGATAACTTCCTGTTTTGTTGGGGTTTTTTGTTGTTTTTTGGTTTTTTTTTAATGAACAAAATTCATGCAGTGACTTGGTCTAGTAATTAGGTGTATCTCTCTGCTGCAGTTTTCCTTTAAGGTGGTGTGTACCAGTGCAAAACAGGCTAAACCAGGAGCTGTGGAACCAGAGTACTGAGCCATTCAGTCTTTTTCTGCCTTTTGGTACAAGCTGTTATCTTTTATATTGAAGGAAAATGGAACGCACCCCTTAACTGAACACACACTTTTTCTGCACACCAGTGAAATTGCTAGTGCATTGCTACGGGCCTTTGATATTCACTGGTTTAGGGGGCTCAAAGGACTTTTGACACTCTGGCCTGAGCTGTTTCAAGACATCTGTGTAGAGTTCCATTTATAACCACCAAAATCCACCTCTGTCACAAGAGGAAGTTTACAATTTCTGTATCTATAACAGAAATTCAATTTACCTCATAATATCTCTTTTTCCTTGTTTTCTTTGTATCCCTGAGTAGTAAGGCTGTTTCCCAGGGCTCCAGCTAACGCTTCTGGGATCCAGCTGCTAAATGATGTGTGTGGGTCAGACATGGGGTCTGTGTTAACAGTTCTGCTCCAGCAGGAGGAGCACTAAACCCATCAAACCTGAGATCTCGGGTGCGAATCCCCACTTGTGTGCCATGATCTGTTGGGAATCTTGGGCATTTCTAGGGACTGGGCCCCCTAGGATCTCAAACCTCAGAATCACAAGGCCTGATAGGTAACATCCGAGGGGAGCCCTTTCCAGTTCTTAGATTGAAAATCAAGCAGTTAATGTCAGTCTGTCCATATTGATGGCAGACAGATAAATCTGTCAGTATTATTTAAATAATTTTGTGGTGGCAAAATTTCAAAGGCCAGATTGCCAAATTTCCAAGTTATGCTGGCATGTGGTACCTTTCTGTGTTAATTATTTGAATCTCTCTAGAAACGTAAACATACACTGAAGTGAACCATGTACACTTGAATTCTGCACCATAGGAAAGATGTGTCCTGGTTTTCTGAGAAAAGAGTGTTGAAGTGTGAAGGCCTCCAGGGTGATAATGGGATTTTTATATATATATATATATATATATAAATTATATACTTTTCAAAAAAAGGAAAAAAAAAAAAACATAAAAAACCATAGGTGGGAGCAACTGCTCCAAGTGCAACCTGCTGTAACCAAGAATGTTGTTTCTATTTTTATAGAAGTTTTATACCGCTCCAGGGTGGAGAATATTTATTACCTAAATTATTTCACTGGAAAAAAAGGCCAGGGTTTTGTAGAATCCTGAATGTGATTGTTTTACACGCATAATGATGTGCATGATTGAAACTACTGATTTTCAGTGGCCTGTTTGCAGCCCAACAACTGCTAAACGAGGAAGATGAATGCTGTGAACCAGTGGAGGAGGGCACTGTGCTCTGGGGTCTCTACAGTCACTCTTACCTTCTTTGCATCCTACCCCCTTGTTCTGTCCAAGACCTTTGTCCTGTTTTTCTTTTAACCTGATGCTCTAGCCTGTTTACTAGTCATTTCAGTTGCCCAAAATTAGATATTTTAGCTTCTTCAATCTATACTGTGTCCTTAATACTGTAACTTACAGATCAAGCTTGGCATTGTTGCAAATAGGTGCAACTCCTGTTAATTTGAGGAGATTCACCAGTTTACACTGTGGCTTAGTTTGATCAGTGACTCCTCCCAGACATAATCACCTTAAGACACCTAACTTGGGCTAGCTCTTGTGCCTTACTGGCGTAACTATAAGTATTGCCAAAAAGAAAAAGAAAATAAATCTATGCAGGTTAAATTTTAAAATATGTGATCCTCAGATGGTTTGAATCAATGCAGTTCAGCTCTCTGAATGCAGTAGAGCTGCATCAGTTTTCACCAGCTGAAGATGTTGCCCTTTTTGTGTATTTGTTTCAGATTTCCCTTTCTTGGTGTATCAATGTGTATGTTGCCAAAGTTAATAAATGTATCAAGTTTGTGACTTGGGCAGATTTTTTTTTCTGATAACAAAGCTGATCAGATAAAGTCAACATTTCTCTGTGTCTGTTTGGTGGCTGCTGCTGATTGTGGGGATTTAGGCTGCTCTTGCCTTTCAGTCTTAAGCCAGTTTTCTTCCTCACTTATTAGCAGGAAAGTCTGGGATTCTGGGGACTTGGGGCTTTTAAATTTTTAGTTCATATCATGCTCTCATTCAAGTGCAAATGAAATCAGTGTCAAATACTCTTATTTCCTGGATAGTAAGATAAGAGTTGGGGGAGTTCAAATAAACTGCAGAAAGTTGGCTGAAGCAGCCACAGGGACAAAGTATGCTATCGCTTAAAACCAAAGAACCTCATTTTCTACAGGAAAAGCTAAAAGAAATTCTGATGAAATAGAATTCCTTATTACGTGTGCCACCAGGAAATACTTAAAATAATTTTAGTTTACAGGGTGGAAATTGTCTACTTCATAGATTTGTTCTTTTTCTCAGGAGATACTTGATTTTACTGACATAGCAAGGTGAAAGAATTATGAACTTAGCCTGATACTGCTTAGTGTCAGTAGTATAGTGAAATCATAATTTCTTCAGTCCCCTAGATAATCAACAGTTCCAAATAGGATAGCTCCTTGTAGTTTAGCTTTTTTATAATACAAAGCTGGCATTTTAAAAAAATTCCAGCCCAGAAGAATCTCACTGGCAAATGCATCTACCAGGACATTTCACCTGAATACTGAAAGTCACATATTATGATAATTCTATCATGCAAGCTGAATCTAACTGAACTGGTAATGGCTGTGGATTAGGGAAGAACAACAAAGCAGAATGAATTTGTTTCTGTTTTATTTGGAAATACATAAAACCAACTTGGATAAATGAAATTGCAAATGAAGGGTGCAACTATGAATAGGTACAATGCTTTGAAAGCTTCTTGGTGCAGACATTTAAACATAAAGATGATTGATCTCCCCAGCATACCTTCCACAAAATATAAAACACAGAAGGCAGAATTATCATGATTGTGAGAATAAAACAAGGACAAACTGGAAAAACTTTCTTCAAGTCATTAAGACCTCATCCAGCATCTCATGGTTCTGTTTTTATAGGCCAGTCTTTCCATAGGGCTTTGATAAAACTCAACATAGCTGGGAGAAGTATTTGAAAAATCCATATCAAGAAAATCCCCAGATAAATCACACAGAGGGTATCAGTGGTGCATGCTAAGATGTCACTTGATTTCATGCTTCTTGTTGTTTCTCATGCCTCAGTTCATGATGAATTTGCTTTTCTGGTTTAAGAGTGAAATCTTGCACCTATCTGCAAATTACCTAGAGTATTTCTTGAAATATAAAAACAAGTGCAAAAGTTGCATTGTACTCTGTTTGCTGGTGTTGGTTTAAAATCTGTACTAAAGTCCTTTCCCTTTATTGGAAAGCATGAAAAGCAAATTAATCTAAGCAGTTCTAATAAGAGGAGTGTTGCTGATTTAGTAGACAATGTGTTTCTTGTTGCTTTGGAATGAGAATGCAACACTTGCTATTCTCAAATTATGTTAGATAATATGCAAATCTCACCTTGTTCTAGTCTGTAACCAGAAGCTTTGAGATGTGCTGAAGATTAAGGCCACAAACAGGAGCTAAAGGGGAGTTGGGGGTGGCAGAGTGGGGAGGCAGAATAAGAAAACAAACCATTTCCTCTCTCTTCTGCCTCCCACTCTCATCCCAAACTGTTCCTTGTCTCTTGCAGTTCACTGAGGAGCTGAGGAGAGGGAACAGAGGTATTTATATAAGAGGTCACTTAATATAAGAATTATTTTTTAATAAACTCTTCAAGAAAATTTCAGGAAACACATTTTTTCTGCTCATCAAACTGGCAACAGTGACTGTAGAGCTTCTCAGAGCCCAGAATCTCCTCCTCATGAAACCAGGGAGCTGTGGGCTGTTACATAAAAGGTTGGGAATGGAAAATCCCTGTGCAGGTCTAATGGTATGACAAGTGCTCAGCTAGGACAAGTCTTAACTTGCAGTCAAGTCTTAAGAAATTCTTCTCTGATGTGTGAGCTTTTTGTCTTGTATAATCTTTTTTTTTTCCCTTTTCCAAATCACTCACCCCCAGTTACATGGGCTCCTAGGGAATGAGAAGAGACTGTAGCTAAAGGAAAAAACGTGGATTTGCTGGGCTACTACTGCCTAAGAACTTGCCATGTTAGAGTGCAAGAAAAGTCTCAAACATCAAACCACCTGTGAATCCCTTGTGTCCTCTATCTTGTGTCTCATGGTCTCAGTCTCTGTGGGCAAATGTTTGCCCTGGAGCCATATTTTTTGGAATCGGTCTCCTGGGGAGGGAGTGTACTCTGTTCTAAACACACTGGGCACGGGGCATTGTAACCAGTGTGTCACTAGGCTGTGGAATGCTCCCCAGACTGGGTGCTGAGAGGGAAATCCAGGCCTCTGCTTCCATTTGGTTTCTGGCAGTTTGATGTTTACTTGGTGTCTTTCATGTACTTTGACTTTTACTTGTCCATCGTTGGCATGTGCTGCCCTTCCCTGTCAACTCCCTTCCCCAGGAGATCTCATTGTACAGTGCCCATTCTTGTTCTCTCTCTCCGTGTTTGGATGTACTGCTCTGTGTAACTCAGTGGGTCTCCCTCTTTCTGGTTTGTTTTTTTTTCTAGATTCCTGCCGTTTGTTCATCGTTGTGCCTAAAGCATGTCGATGTGGCGTTCAAGTACATCGTCCAAATCCTTGTCTCTTCAGCTTCTCTGATGCTTGAACTCTCACCTTTGACCTTGTGTTGACCTTTGATGCTGATGTGTATTTTTATTATGTTTGTTTCTTTTCTTTTTTTTTTCTTTTTTTTTTTTTGTGCTGCCAAATTGGTTTTGCTAGAAAGACTGCTGAAGGGGAATATTTAAACTTGCATTTGAATATAAAAGAATTTCTATTTTTCTAGACCTTCGTAAGATAACCACTTGATTTTGTGAATCTGATTCTTTGTAATTTGTCTTCAGAGCAGCCTTGCTAGCATACCTTGTGGAGTATTTGTATTTCTGTGAACATACAGCCAATCACTTTCTAGGCTTAGTTTTTTCTGTGTGCTTAGTTTTAAAAACAGTTCAAAGAAAAAGTCAATTATATGGTGTGACTCAATCTTTCAGGAGACTTCCTAGTCACATTTTGCTGATCTGGTTTCTGTGCTTGAGGAGACAGCATGTGTTTTTATGAGTTCAAACTTGTGACTTGAAGTGGCATCAACAGAAAACACTTGAACTACGTTTTCCTCTGATTGTAGCTACAGTTTTGCCCTGACATTTACTGGGGTTTTTTTTAATTATTATTTTTATTTTTTCCCCTGCTTCCCTGTGTGATTATCAGTCTGCAGTGAAAATTTGATCAAAATTGATGTTGTATTTTGTTAAGCTCTGGCATGCTTGGGTTTTTTTTGTAACTACAATCTCCTCAGCAAAATGTGATGTTTTTGTTTTAATCTTTCAAACTAAGATAGTGCCCAGAAATGTTGTGCATGTTTCCTGCTGTTTTCTTCACACCCTCCTATATATCACCTTCACCTCTCTGTTTTCTATAGTTTGTGCAAAAACTGAGCAATTTAATGGGTTTCAAAGGTATCCTTTAAATTGGTGGTTTTGGTATGACAAATATCTGATCGGAAGCCACCTGAGGGCATCTACCTGTGCACTTAGACTGTCTGCCTGACAGAGCACCTGGACCTTGCTCCATCTCCAGCGCTGTCAGAAGCTCTGAGGGTGCTTGGTTACACTGTTCCCCTAGTGGAAGTTTTGGTGGAAGGGGATAGCTGGGAGCAGGAAGGTGGGGGAACTCACAACATTTCTGTTTCCAAAGCTGTCTGAAGCTAGGGCTCATTTCAAACACTGAGCATTTTGCACAACTCAGGGCACATTTCTGTGAAGTCCAGCCCCAGTCTAATACCATCAGTCAGAGTTTGGTGGCAGGATTCTGGAAGGATCTAGGTTAGCTCATGAAATAAAGTGTTTTAAATTTCCCAGAGAAAGCATTTGTAACACTGGTCCTACAACTGCTGGCTCTTTTCCCAAATGACAAGCACAATACAACAGCCTCTGAAGCTGTTACCTGAACAGGGTACCATCCCCAGCTCTCTTTTCAAGGGCCTTAGCTGGGGAATCTCTGCGGAGATTCTTTTTTTAGTTTTTGTTTCATTTTTAATTGGGTAATGAGCTGAGCAGTTCTGATGGCTTGCAGGATGAACAGGTTACTGCTCTCTGGGCAGCAGGCTTCCCCTGCCTTATGTACCATCTGCACAGGTAGAAACTGGGAGGTAGCTTCTAAATGAAGGCACCTGAAGAGTGTGTGCTGTGATGAAGTTTCAGTCAGAAGCAGCAGCAAGCTAGTGTAAGTATCTTAACAGTTGAAATAATGTGAAATGGAATTCCAGGAGAAGAGTTTTTGCTGAGAAAACAAGTAGAGTTTGACTGGATAGAAATCTTCATTTTGTCCAGTGTTTGGGATAATGTAAAGATGCAAAGATTGTTTTCTGTCCTACTCCTGAGTTGGTTGAGGATACTGTATTCTCACTAGGTGTTGACCAGACTTGTGTAGACAGTCCTTAATCTGCTTACAAAAGAGAACAATTTGAATATGATACATGTACCTTGGGAGTGAATCGTGAGGCTGAATGAAAAAGGGTAGAGACTCATTTATTTGGGAAGTAGGGTTGGGGGCTGGCTGCTGTTAGTCCCACAGTCTGAATGCACAGGGCTGTGTGCCAGGGGGCACTGATGGCCTGCAGTGTGTGGAGGAGCTGCCAGTACGTTTCTGTACGTGTGCGTTTGGTTCCGTAAGGAACCTTGGGGAAACCTGTGGAAAAATATCTGAAGAAAACCAAAATGCCAAATGTTGGGTGTTTCTTTCCTTTCTTCCTTCCTTTTCTTCCTTTGGTTGTTTTAATTGTTCTGTGGTGGTTTTAATGGATTTGAGACAGTGGAGCAGCAGCTGCCTTTCTGATTTTTGGCTGCTTTTTGTGAATAATTTAAAAAGAAAATTTACATTTTGGAGACAAACCTGTGGGCTTTTTTATTGGTACAAACATTGTATTTAACACTAGGGGTTTTGTACAGTTTTTTGCCTTTTCTACTAGAAAACAATGTAAAGTGATTCACAATGTGACGAGAAAACAAATTGCCACTATGACCAAATGTAGAGTCTGTTCTGCAGTTAATGGGATTTAATCAACTCGAAGTCGTGGTTCAGTCGTAGAAATGCTTTTCTTTACCTTGTTTGAGCTGTTCTTTTTTTTTCTTGTTTTGATTTGCAAAACAAAATGTCTTTTTGTGTGAAATTGTGTTGTACTCTGTAGAGAATTACAGATTTTACTTTAATGGTTTAAAAAGCAGAGGAGCGCATGTTGCTTTTCTGATCTGATCACAGAGTTTGTGTAGTGGATTTAAAAATGAAAAGATTTGTTACAAGTTTGGAACAAGCGAGTATGTGTTAAAGGAATTTTCTTCCTTTTGTGTGTGTGTTTTTTTTCTTTTTGTCCCAAAGGGCAACTTAAAGCTGTTTTAATTGCACAGACACACCGACAACAAGTCATTTTGTATATGCCAAGTGTGGTACCTTCCTTTGTTTATTTGCTATTAAACTGTTTGAGAAGAGTCCTTGTGTGTTGGATTTGTGTCTTAAACTTGAGGTTCTTTTTGGGGTCCAAGTGTGAGAACATGAAGAGAAAGATGAGAGAACTATTTTACAGTTTCTTAGTTGTGAGACACAAAGATATTCATGGCCCAATACCACTTGACTTTTACTTCTGTGTAAATGGCTACTCTGAGTAGAAATTGAAGAGGTTTTCTGGTTGATATACATCCATTTTGATCATTTGACAGTCAAGTCCCCTTTAGATACGGAAGAGCTGAGGATCTTGGATAATGCAAATATGTGCAACACTTGGGGGTGAGTAGTAGGCATATGCAGCCTCACGGAACTGGTGCCATGCGGCCTCTTGCCTGTCCATGCACTTGTGCTTCAGGCTGTTTCAGGGGCTCAATAGCTTGGGCAGAGCAGCAGCCCTCAGCTCTGCAGGAGCAGCACCAGTGGTGGTGCTGTGTGGGATTAGAGAGGCACCAGCTTATGCCACTCACAAGTTGCACACTTGCCATCGCCTCCTTCCCCTTCCAGCTTCCCCCACAGTCAAGCTGCCTGAATCTGTCCTGGTTCTGCAGCATCAAGGTACCATCAAGGCAGCCCTCAGTGCTCCTCATCCTGGAAGTGCTGCACAGGGAAACTGCAAATGGATTTGGATTACTTGCTAGTGATAAGCAAAGGCTACCTGCTTTGCTCTTAGAACTGAGATCTTTTATGATGGCTCACTTCAAATTAATAAAAAGTATTCGGCATAGCCAAAGCATTTAGAAGCCTGCCACAAGCTTGACACGAATATTGCCTCTCTCAGAAGGAAAGTATCACAATGGCCTGGATTTTGCTGCATTTCTGAAAGCTCCTAAAATTCCCTGATGTTATTCCTTCCTTCTGCTGTCTTGCATCTTGGAGACTTGCAAGTGTTTTTAGGACCACTATGTTTCTCCTCCATGTCCTTTTCCTGTGTTATCTGGGATACTCTGTTTCACCCCATCACTTCCTACATGATTGTAAATCCGAGAGCCCTTGCAAAGCATCAGGATTCAGTGCTGCATTCCTTGCCCTGAGCGCACCAATTGCGGCACGAGGCACAGAGCCACCTGTTACAGACTGTGCTGGGATCCCCGCAGTTAATTTGCAGCTGTTGAGGAGAGAGGCTGGAGGGATTTCAGTTTAGATACAACTTGAGGCCAAGGATGGAGAGAAACAATTGAATGAGAAAAACAGTTTGTTTAGGCTGAATGGAAGATTCCAGCTTGTGCACAAATTTCACTCACCTTGTCTTACACAATCAAAGCTCTGCCAGCTACATCTTACAGAACTGACACCAGATCACTCTTGGGTCACAGGAGTTTTTTTTAATTTTTTAAGGCTTTTTCTTCAACTTAAAAGGCCACCACCAATCTGTACACAATCAAACTGCACCTAAGAGCCAGTATATTAATCTCTGAAAATAATCAGCATTTTCACACGAGTGGTTACATTTAACAGCATTTGTAGGAAATGCACAAAGTTGCAGATGAAATCCTGATGCTGAATGTTCTAGGAGAAACCTTTTTCCTCTCATATTCACCTCCACCTTTCACTATGTGTTTTTACTCCAGTCTTGCTCACTTTACCTGCCACGTTCTGCTCTCTTCATACATCCAGGAGTCACCGGGGGCATTATGGAGAGCAGGGGGGAGGAGGAGAAGCAGGTCAGTGAGGTCTCTCTGAAGAAGTGAGTGCCTGATGAGCCACACTGCATATATGACAGGTAAGGTTCCCTTATTTGATGTTGCCAAGCACCATTCAGGCTCATTTATTTATACTTCCTGAGGAGAAACTGTGGATTATTAACTGTAGAAGCTGTAGCTGAATCTTGAATGAATTACAGCTATCTTGAGCCACAAACAGATGCCATTGCTTTTTTTGAAGTAGCACAGGCAGGCAGTGTTGATCTGTTATCCCTCCTTATTTAGGCAGCTGCAGCTGGGCTCAGAGTGGTGTGTTCCATATTAGAGCATGTTGTGGTTTTTCGAAAATGACCCATTTGAACTTGATGGATTTAGCCCTTATTTTACTAGGGTGTTTTTATCTCAACAGGTGAGTTGCGAATTGATTCCTGAGAAACTGAGCACTGTCATAGTGCTCAAAAGCAAGGAGGCAAAGTGAGGTTAACAAAATGCAGTGTCAATCATGTCCTGTTAGATGGGTTTTGTCAGGCTGCAAGGCACCCTCTTCATTTTGGCTGTGCAGTGTGGGGAAGGGAGCAGTGCTTTACTGACATGGTCCAAAACAATCTTGGGATGAGTTTGAGTTACAGACAGCTCACTTGTGGAAGGTTAATGTTGCAAAATAGTCTGACCTACCAAGAATGATATAATTTTTGTTTTCCCCATACCTGAGTCCTGGCTTGATTCTGTTACAGAGCAGGCTCCAAGTGGCTGCTTTTGTGGCCTCTTAGCTTCTCCAAGTCTAGAAATCTGAATGGCCTCACTATTGTCAGTGCTTTCCATGGGGTCTGATCTTCTGCATCTTGTTTCCATCCCATCACCTACATCTAGAGAGACATAAAAGAAGGAGGAGAGATTTTTTAATATTCTGAATCAGACTTTTATGCAAGTCCTAAAATCTATAAAGTACCTAGCTAATAATTTTAACTGCTGCTGAAGTGATTTTCACACATTAACCAGCAGTGCCTCACCATTAGTTTTCTTCAGCTTCTGTAGATTTTTCCACAGTTTCTACTTCCAGAGTTTGAGACTACATATAGTCTCTGCTGAAGTACCATCTAGCACATTACATCTCTGAAAGACACAGCTAAGTTAAATAATGCAAATATCATAGTGTATATGAACTCCCAAAAGTATTTTGAAATACTTTTCTGAGGGAATTTTGGACAAAGGCAGATGTAATCCTTTAATATTGTAACTGCTATGATGTAAAGTCTCTCGGTAGACAATCATTCCTTATTTTGCATCCTGCTTTTCTTAAGGGTATTACCTGAGGAAGGCTCCCTTGGGTTTTTGTTGACAGACCAAGATATTGGTACCCTTTGAGGTGATTCTGTAGGTATTGACCTTTGCTTGGGGAAGAACGGCTACCAAATTCACCAAGAATCAGGGAGGCAGCTGGAAACATGACTGGTATTGCAGGCAGGTCTGTTAAAACTTCAAATTGCTTCTCTTTGCCCAGTAAAAGGATCACAAAACTGGTTCTTGGAACTTCTACATCTGAAAAACATTCAATATCCCTGTAGTATTCTCCACCTGCTCCCCTCCCCCTGGGTTTGCTCTGTCTTCTTAAGAAGGACTGAATAAATCTCTGGACCAACAAGGCTGCAGCACACTGGTGAGAGTATTAAATGTGACTCATGGAGGAGCCAGTCTGCAGTGTGGGAGACATAAACGTATCTTTTAATGGGGCTAATACTTCTCTCCTGCAACCAAAAAGTGCAGATACCTCTTGTTCTGTGTCTTTATTGTTATTCATCATAAAAGATTGTCAAATTCTGGCTGCAGAACTTAAACAGTGCTGTTGACTTCTGTTGGAAACTTTTGGAGGACTGCCACGTTCGTCTGATGACAGGGAGCGACATTCAGTCAAGAACAAAGGTTTCCAGGATGGTTAGCTCCTTGTCCCTAAAATTAGGAAGTCAGAGGTGTGTTTGCAGCAAATCTGTGACAGAGCTGACCTATGTCCATAAAAAAAGTCCTTGATGCCAAATGAGGTCCTCAAAAGGGAGGCTGATTTTGTGCCTAGCAAAATATCAAGTACATTTTTTCAAGTGTAACACTGCACGTGTGCACACACTGAAGTTGCCTTGTTCACACCTGACTTTTAAGGCATATATTTTTTCTAAAGCTACTATTCCAGCTGAGTCTGCTTCCTCCCAAGCTAGCCCACCACCAGCAGTGCTTGTCTAAGGGGATGGCCAGAGAGGAAAGAGACAGCCGCGGCATCCTGCGGCTGTGACTGCAGCCAATTGTCTCTCCCTGGGGTATTTATAAGCTGCATACTGGCGGGCAGGGGTGGGCAGTTGGCACCGTGACCTTGGGAGCTGGGGAGCCTGACTAGAATTCCTGGGAGCCACGTGAGCTGGACTGGCAGGAGCAGCTGCAGCCAATGGGGAGGAGACCAGCACTGGCTGTTCAGATTGAGTTTCACTCCTGAGGCTTGAGATTTTTCTCTTTCTCTCTCTGTCGTGCTTTTGCTCTTTGTTTACGGGATTGGACAGATGAATGCACTGATGGAGCCCTAGCAAGCAAGATGTTTGCCTAGTGGATTTGGGATTCTGCCTTCAGTGCTGAGCAACCACTTCTTGCCATTGCCTACCACAGCTCCAGCCCCCTGACATGGCTGGGCTCTTACGGCTCTGGGCCCTCTGAGCACACAACCTGCCCTCTTCTAGTGGGGCATTTTACGTTGTGTTCTCTTGTAAGCACGTCCTTTTTGCTATCCTTAGAGGTTAGTGTACGAGGCTTTTTAATCCATGGGAGATGGGTCAGGACCAGACAAAGCAGCAGATAGAGAAAGGACTCCATCTTTACCAATCTAATCAGACCGAAAAGGCCCTGCGAGTCTGGATGAGGGTTTTGGAGAAGTCTGCGGATCCTGCTGGCAGGTTTCGGGTTTTGGGTTGCCTCATCACTGCTCACGCAGAGATGGGCAGATACAAAGACATGCTGAAGGTAAGGTGAACTGGAGATGAATGCATGCCATTGTGTCGCACCCACGATGGAACGTGGCTGGAGATCAGAACCTGAAGTGGGGGGTGTTTTGTGTGTAACAGAAAATACCAGCTATTGCGTGCATGTTCTGGACTGCTGTGATCACGGTGCTCACCAAGAGCTCCAGCCCACAAGATAGACAGAATCTGATTTTTCACTGGATCTGGTTCATCAGGATTCCTGGGTTATTGAAGTTCTTCAGTTATTCATGGGAAGCTGTCTTGATTATTTCCCACATACAGGCAAACCACGTTATCAGGCTTCAAGAAAAGGTATGAGAGCAGGGCCTTTGTCAACTACAAGCTGTTTACAGTCTGTATGTCAGCATAAAAGGAGAACTCCAAGTGGATTCTGTAGAATAAGTATCTCTCTTATAGAGACATGTCTGTTATCTTGTTCAGCTTCTGGCTGATATCTAGTATATATCTTATATTGGGGGTTTCTAATTACAATTATTTGTTTGCCAGGGGGCTGATTTAGAGAGGAAAAGAAGATGCTGTTTTGGTGAGGTAATTGAGACATCCCAGATGTCTCACAGTTGAGCTCAGAGAGCAGCTTCCAGTTGTCAGGACAGTATAGAAGAAAGAAGGAAGGATGTGAGGCTTGATGGAAGAGTGGTAAAAAACAGCTGAAGTTACATTTCCAGCACACAAGGATAAAGAGTTTAATTAAGTGAAAAAAAAAAAGAAGCTGGGGTATGGATCTGAGAAGTAAGAGGATGTATACAGAGAGCAGCAGGCAGCATTTGGGAGGGCAACTCAAGTATCTGTAGGACAAGGCAAGAGAGTGTTGTAATAGTCTTAAGAAACTATCCCAGCCTGAAATAGGGTCTTACTAAAGGGCTTTGATATTCTTGTCCTGATGTTTTGGGTTGCCTCTTACTAGACTGCCTATCATTCAGCATTTAGAACAAAAGGTGAAAGAAGTGTCTACATCTCATTGAAAAGTTTTTGGTAGCTCTGTTTGGAATTGGAGCGGGGAGAGGAGCACACCTTACTGGTAAAGCCATGCACGTGTCAAAGCCCTATATTGAAACCAAGTACTTAGGATGAAGAAGAAGGGAGAGGTATTAATACACTTGGAAAACATTTGAAGACAATTCTGTTAAGTGGTGTGAAATTAGTTGCTGGCAAAAACAACCAACTGACTGGGGAGGAAAGAAGAAAAAAGGGCAAGAAGCAAATACTGAAGATTTCATGGGAAAAAAAAGGCAAAAGAGTGAGCTTAGTATACCCAAACATAATTCCTTACCTGAGAAGAGAAAAGAAAGTGGGATCAGAGTACGTAAATTTTAGTTCTTCACAGTATTAGGAAGGAAAAATTACTTCAGTCAGACTAAAGATTTTACAGAGCAACTGGTGAAAGGATAGCGAAAGGAGAACTTTAGCAATAAGCCATTGAGAGAGGAAATATCAGGAGAAAAATGGTCAGAATTAAAGCCATGAAATAAAAAGTGATTTAAGAAGGGTTGTGATGCTCAACCTGTTCTGGAGAGGAAAACTTACTTTGCACAAAGAGGATGTGGCAATCAGGAAATACTGAAGAACTTGTGCAAAGTTAAGGGAATGTGAGGAAGCGTGAGCTAGTGTACATCACTGAGTCCACATAGAAGCTTTCCTAAACTGTAATGGAAACTGAGAAGATAATTACAAACCCAACATATACAATTTATGTTGTTGCTGTTGTTTTGTTTGGGGGGGGTTTTTGTTTGGTTTTGTTTTTATTTCCAAATAATGTAAAATGTTCTAGTAGCCTAAATTATTATGTGTAGCCACAATATAAAAAGGAAGTAATTGATTCCTTTGGAATTTGCGATCCATAATCCTAACTGATAATGTCTAATGAAAATTGTTAACTATTCACCTTTGCTACTGATACTAATTCAAGCCAGCTTGAATGCTTGTGCTTGCTTCATCACAGAGCATAAGAGTTACTGCTTAGAAGAGTTTGCAGCTTGAAAGAGACTTCATTTAAGAGAACAGTATGCAACAAATTCTGGAGGTTATAGAACCAAGACTGTCAAAATCAAGACTGCAATTTATTAATAGAAAATTCCTTAAAGAAGTAGCTTACTTTTTTCTATTAATAGATTATTTTAATAGCTTAGGAATTCCAGAGAAAGTGGGATACATTACAATGAGTGGAAGAAAACAGAACTGCATTGTGTCAGATGTTTCCTGCTTCACCAGCTTCCCTTTAGGGCCATTTAACAGCTGTTTTCCCCTTACAGCCAGTCTAGTTCATCTTCCCTGCCCAGAGACTGTGTGAAGAGAGGGAGACGTTTCTTCTGAGTCTTCACAGGCCTTTTAAACCCCCAGATAACTGCTCAGTGCTTACAATGCTTCTCCATGTGCTGATGGCCTTGTCTGCCCTGCTCAGAGATGAGCCTCTTTCTCCAGCACAAGCTGCTACTCTGTGGGTGCTTGAGCTGTATTTAAATAAACTACACACTTTTGTAAACACTATCTTCTCTACTCTAAGTTTGCAGTGGTCCAGATTGACACAGCACGGGAGCTGGAAGACCCAGATTTCCTTACAGAGAGCTACCTAAACCTGGCTCGCAGCAATGAGAAACTTTGTGAATTCCAGAAAACCATCTCTTACTGTAAGACATGCCTGAACATGCAGGGTACCACTGTGAGCATGCAGCTGAATGGCCAGGTGAGCCTCAGCATGGGCAACGCCTTCTTGGGCCTCAGCATTTTCCAGAAGGCTTTGGAGTGCTTTGAGAAAGCTTTACGCTACGCACACAACAACGATGACAAGATGCTGGAGTGTCGAGTCTGCTGCAGCCTGGGGAACTTCTACACCCAGATAAAGGTACAGTAACCTAAGGGACAGGAGGGTGATTGTCCCACAGATTCAGGGAAGCATTGAAATCACGTGGATTTCAGCCTTTGTCTTCCCTATAGGAAGTGAAGAGCATTGTAAGCCAAAATCCCTTTGTAAAATCCAAATGGAGTACTCTCCTCCACAGTAAGGATGGGAGGATTAGTGTCATGTTTACACAGCACAGCAGAAGCAGCTGTGAATATGTGTGTGGAAGAGATCAAACTTAGCTTCAAAGAAGATCACATCAGAGACACACGGCTGGCAGCCAAAACTCAGGGATTCTCTATTTCTACCACCATTGTAGGCAAATAGCTGCCAGCAAGCTGTAGGTAAAACCAGGCAGGGATTGAGCACAGAGGTGATTTGCCAGCTCTAACTTCAGGTACAAACAGCAAATAGGTTCTTCTCACAAGGAGTGATTTCTTCACTCATAGAAGATAATCACATGAAGTGTGGTGACCAAATATAAAAAAAATAACATTGTGCTGAATACTTTTCAGGTGTGAAAAAAGAAGGGAGAAAGGAAATTTGAAAAGCTGTGGTTTCCTCTCTGCATTGTGGAAATGAAAAAAAATATGAGGATTTTTCACTTCTGAGATCTCATATAACTTACTTGAGAATAGTTTTAGATATTAAGATAAGTTTTACATAATTATTGTAAAATAAGATTTATTTCTAACATGCTTTTAATGCAAAAAAAAAATGTTTAAAATGTATTATTACTTTTTGTGAATTTGAGGAGGCCATGAGTCTTAGTTCCTATTTCCTGCAGTGATGGATAATGAGCCTCTTGGAGATCCAAACTCACCATTTAGAGAAAATGAAGGCTCCATGTAGATGTTACAAGTAGAGATGATGTAAGAGCAGAGAAAGTTTTCAGCCTCTGCTGATAGAGGAGGGCAAATGGTTCCTGCAGAATAAAGTTAATGGCATACTACATCAAATTCGTTTGCTGGGTCATTGCTCCAGTGTCCTGAACCCAGAGAAAAATAATAATTCAGTATGTGGCTATTCCATCTTTCACAATTTGATATCCACCAAAATACTGCACGTGGAAGACGAGCAGCACAAGTTTAAAGATGTACAGAAATCTGGTAACTGTTGCAGTATTAGTAAATAAAAAAATAGCTGCTCTTTTTCCTTCTCTCCTTTTTGCTTTATTTTTGCTGTGACTGCTGTCTGTGTGCTTGTATGCCTTACAGGACTACGAGAAAGCCTTGTTTTTCCCGTGTAAAGCTGCTGAGCTGGTGAATGACTACGGGAAGGGCTGGAGCCTGAAGTACCGTGCCATGAGCCAGTACCACATGGCCGTGGCCTATCGGAAGCTGGGGCGCCTGGCAGACGCCATGGATTGCTGTGAGGTACGGGCAGGGCAGAGCTCGGGGGGCTCTGCCAGGGCATCCTGCCACGCCACTGGAGAAAGAGAGATACCCTGCCATGCACACTTGACTGTAGATCTTCCAGTCCTAAAGCTGTGGTTTCTGTAGCCAAGAGGGCTTCAAAATGTAGGTCTCTGAACGGCCTTTGGTTAGGAACATGTGAAAAATATTTTCCTTGCTTTAAAAGATGGTGCCACTTCTTTGGAGCTGAGCTTTTAGTGGCTGGATTCCAAAGTCCCAGCCTTGCTGTTTTGAACCAGGAACAAGCTGTTCTACTGACCAGAGGCAATTTCTTTCAGGAGTCCATGAAGATTGCCCTGCAGCATGGTGACCGGCCACTGCAAGCACTGTGTCTGCTCTGCTTTGCAGATATCCATCGCAGCCGCAGGGACGTGCAGGTACAGCTCCTCCCTGCCAGGAAGGATAGGGGGAATAGCAAGAGGGCATGAAAACCAGTTCATAGCAAAACATGTGTTTTCCTCCCTGCTTCTGCAGACAGCCTTCCCTCGGTATGATTCTTCCATGAGCATCATGACAGAGATTGGGAACCGCCTGGGCCTGATCCAGGTGCTGCTAGGAGTGACTAAGTGCTGGATGATTCAAAAGGAGCTGGACAAGGTTAGTTACAAGCTTGTTCCTACAGAGGTTTGTAGGACAAGATCAGAGCACAGTCTTGTACTGCAGTGTGGTGAGGGTACAGTTCAGAAGAGACCTGTACCCCCTTGGTTCTACCAACAGGGTCTGTTGCTTGTAGAGTTATATTTCTCTGAATGGTCTCTCTGAGCCAGGAATTTGTAACTAATGGTAGGAGCATCCATTCTGAGTCAGACTGCTAAGTTACAGAATTGCCTCATTAGTCAATCCTGATGACTTTTAAGCTCTACGCTGAGAAACCAGCGCTGGAGGAAGGAAGCCTTATGCTCTGAAATAGATTCCCCTGCCTACTTTTTAGTTCTATGACTAAGCTCATTGATGTGCTAATGAAGTTTAGACAGCTCTACAGCTCCACCATGTGCTTTGCAGGCAAATATGGCATAAAATTCCTGGAGAAACTGGCAGTCTGTAAACTCTGATGTGAAACAGAGGAATGAGATATTTATTTTTATTTTATTTGGGGATAAACAACCAGTCAATATAGAACAAGGGGATGAAGTTAGTTATTTTGAAAATGCATAGACAGTGTGTGTGTGTGTTAAAATCCAGACTGCACTAGATGCAGCACATTGCACGGCAGGAACATTACTCAGCCGCAGAATGAAATGCTCAAAGGTTAGCCCTGAACTAGCTCTGAACAACTGTGCAAAGTGACACATCAAGATGCTGGGTGGGTCTAAAAATGATGAAAATTTGCTCCTATCACTCCTGTTGAGACACCAAGAATTTTAGCTCAAATGAAGCATCCCAGACATCAGTATGTCCAGTATATGTCAGAATAGACCAGTTCAGGGTGCTGTCAACATCTGAGTGCCTCCATCAGGGAATCAATCAGTTGGGTGAGACACACTGTGCAATCTCAGTAAGTGAACACAGTGTTTGTCAGCAATGGGAGAAGAAACTATGGACTTGAAAAGTTAGCTCAGTATCAAAAGAAATGGGACAGGACACAGCAGGTAGGCCTCTGCAGGAGAGAATATTCAGAGCACTCATCAAACTCTTCCATTCACTGATTCTATCTCAAGCCACCGTCAGATTTCAAGCAGCTCTCACTTGTGAGAACATGATGAGGGCTTTGCACAGAATTCTAATCTCACCAAATCCCACAGAAGAAGAAAGTGGAGGAATCTTGTATTCTGTTCCAGGCATTAGAGGGAAGTCTGCCCTGCTGGGTCAGGGACCTTACGTCTGTTGGCCAAATGTGACCTCCTTAGATGTCACATCCCTGAATATTCACGCAAGCCTGTTCTTCAACTTGCCAGGCCCAGTTTCCATTTCTCATGCTATTCATCCCTGCATCAGTTACTTAATAAAGCAATTTGCTAACTTTCCACTTGCAGATTCCCTGGTTTTGTTCAAGCTTCCTCCATCTTTCCAGTATCTTTGGCCAGTTAGTCCATTTCATTTGCATGTAATGTAATCAATGCTCCAGGCTGCTCACAGCTTGCTTGACCTCATTCTTGTGCAGCCTCATAATCCTGTCCAAGACAAACTGTCCCCTAGACTCTTCAACATCTTTTCCCCTACCCCACACATTTCACTTTGATTCTTGGTCACAGTCATTAAGTTCAGGAGTTTCCAGTACACACTCAGTTTTCCTAAGCACAGTTCTTAGTTATGTTCTCCCTGCTGGCCTCTAGTTCCTGCTTCCCTCTCCTACATTTCCTTATCCTAGGCTGTTGCTGCCACCACAAGTCTAATGCCATCTCCTCTGCATTCACAGCACATTTTTGCATCTCATCTGGTCCTCTCCTCCTACAATAGCAGTAATGCCAAATTATAGGGTAGAAATGTTATAATGTTCCTCCTGAAAACTACTGCATCACAAGGGAGACCTCTTCTTCCCCTTGGACAAATAGGAAGCAGATCTCAATAGCTCTGGAAAAGAGATACTAATTATTACCAAAACAGCAAGGAACACTGTGACATCTAGGTGAAAGTAGGGAGTCATTTGGTATGACAGCTGCTATGCTAAATATTTCCTTCAGATTTTAAAAATGGATAGCAGAACACTCCTACATCACACCATGTGTAAGTAAGGCAAGGTGGATACATGAAAAGTAAGGAAAAATGGATGAGTGTGGTGTATTGGTGCTGGTGATCCCTTTCCTCACCTCTGGTACAAGCGAAATTGAAGTTGCCCAACAATTATTGAGCCTGCAAGGTAGGATGGGGACAAGGCTTGCTTTGCTAGTGCTCCGTCCCAGCCCCAAATGAGCATGTGGGACTGAGTTTAAAAAAGTCTGTATTCTCTCTGCTTGGGGACCAGCCTCTGCCAACACTGACCCTGAGTGTCTGCAACAGAAATGTAGCTCTTGCATTACTTGTGGTGCTTCAGAAACCAACCTTTTCTCATGGATTAACTTTTGGGAGGGGAGGGAAATCTAGCCTCCCAAAAAAAGCTTTTTTTTTATTCTCCAGTGTTGCAGGGATACTTGTTAATCCAAATTTTACTCTGTACTTCTTCACCTCTTTTTAAAAATAATTTTCATAGGACATTAATAAAAGCCTGTTTTTCATATATTTGGCTGAGAACTAACAACCAGTGCTCTCAATTCACAGGCTCTGGAAAGCATTGAAAAGGCACAGGAGCTGGCAGAGGGACTAGGGAACAAGGTAGGATCCTACAGCTTCTTTTCAGCGCTCTTCATAGTCTTCTGTCAGGCAATATAAGATGTCAAACACTGAAGTATTCAGGCTTGTTGTTGCTCATTAGCATTCCCATTAAGCACTGAGTGTTTGGGATTTGCTTTGTCATGAAGTGTTTGGTTGTGAGCAGTTGCACAGATAATCATCAGTATGCAAGTCTGAAAAGTGGGTGAGGAGTCAGAATGGGATAGGCAAAGCAGAATGGGAAGCAGTGAAAATGGGGTATGAAACAGGCAGAGAACTGGAGGATTAGAGGTCCTTCCTGAAAAACATTTTTGCCCTGAGCAGCTGCTGAACTGTGTGCTGGCTGGAAGCAAAGGAAAGTGATGTATGGGTCATGTCATGGGTAGCTGAGGGAAACCATGAGTGGAAGAGCTGCCGAGTGTCTCAAACCTGGTGCTACCTTTTGTGACACAAAGAAGAAGGGTTAATGACAGGAATTGTTGAGGCCTGCTGATGTTTCTCCAGCTGGTGATGGGGCTGTGGATTCCCACTCCTGTTTCTGGTCTGTGTTCACCCTGTTGTTCACTCATCTTATGTTTCTGTCCTTCACGTGCAGCTCGGGCTGCTGAAGCTCCACTGCCTGTGTGAAAGGATCTATCGCACGAAGGAGCAGCAGCAAGAATTGCGTGACCATGTGGTGAAGTTCCATGAATGTGTGGAGGAGATGGAGCTGTACTGTGGCATGTGTGGAGAGTCCATTGGGGAGAAGAACAACCAGCTCCAGGCACTACCTTGCTCCCACTTCTTCCACTTGAAGTAATTAGCTGGAAGCACTAAAATTATTGTCATGGCATTAGTCATAGGAAAGAGCTGCTTATGCCCACAGCAGTCCTATGCGTGCTGTTCCCCAAGTCTTTGTCTTGATCACCTGCTTACCTTGGTCTTGATCCTGCCTTGCAGGATCCCATTGCAGTGCTATGAGTCTCACAGCCCTGGAGGGTGATTTAGCCATCATATTCATCACACTCCCACTTGTCCTCTAAATAATTATTCACTGATGTCCTCACTTCGTAGGTGGTCAGCCCGGTTCACAGATTCTTACTTGACTCCTTGTGGGGAATCAGTTCTTCGCTCCCAGGGGCAATGTGGGTTTTTCCCGAGTCCCCTCACTTTCCCCCTTGGCTAGTAGCACACAGAGGTGAAGTTGTTCAGACTGTTATCATGCCACTGCCATGAAAGAAGTTAGCTGAACCACATTTTATTGTGGAAAAAACACGAGTGTTATAAAACACTCTAAAAACTAATCTGGAAACTCAGAATTTAATAACAAAGTTTCACACTGACACCGGAATTAGCATCAAACCACTGTGCAGTGAGAGACGCCCGATGACCTCTGTGGACTTGTCTCCAGCAGTACAGGAACAAACTTTGTGCAGGCATTTGCCCGAGTGCCTCCCTGGAAGAGATGGGAAAGAGATGCGGTCTCTGCCCGCGGCGGGAGGGCCCGGGGGGAGCAGCTCTGTGGCGTGCAGCAGCCGTGGAGCCGCCCTGGGGGAGCCTCCGGCCGCGGAGACGCCCCCGACCCGACCTCCTCCCGTTGCAGGTGCCTCCAGACCAACGGGACCCGCGGCTGCCCCAACTGCCGCCGCTTGTCGGTGAAGCCCGGCTACGTCTGACCGCCCGCGGGCTCGGCCGCGACTGACGGAGCCGCTCCCGGGCCCCAAGGCTGTGCCTGGCGGGGCCGCCTCGGCCCGCCCTGCGCGGGACCGGCCCGCGGCTCGGCCCCGTTCCCTTCCCCCGCTCCGCTGTGTACGGGCACTGGCTGTAATAAAGGGTTTCTCCGGGAGTCCGCCCCGTCTGCCTCCAGCGCCGCGCCCCGCCCCGCCCCGCCATGGCGCCGCCGCCATCACTCAGCAGTTTGGGGGCGGCACGTGACCCGCCGGCCGCTCCCCGCCCCGCCGGCAGATTCGGCACGGCCGCGGGTGCCGGGGCCCGCGATCGGGGCGGCGGCGGCAGCGCCGGGGGAGGGGAGGGAAGGGAAGGGGAGGGTGCGTGGAACCCCCGTCCCGCCCGTGGCGCCGCGCCCGCCCTGCGCCGCCGGGAGCCGCAGTGCGGAATCTGCCGCGCCGAACCCGCCGCGCCGTGCGCGTGCCCGCGGGCCGGCGGAAAGATGGCGTCGGTGTGGGATGAGTCGGAGGTGAGCGGCCGGGGCCGGGGGCGGTGGGGCCGGGGCCAGCCGCGGGCCGGGCTGAAGGTAACGCTGCCGTTGTGCCCCCGCAGGACGGCGTCGGCGAGGAGGTGCTGAAGATGTCCACGGAGGAGATCGTGCAGCGCACCCGCCTCCTCGACAGCGAGATCAAGGTAGCGGCCGGGGCCGCGCCGGGCCGGGGAGCGGAGCCGGGCCGGGCCGGGCCGCCCTCCCGGGGGCTCTGTGCTGCTGTTGTTCGGGGCGGGCGGGTTAGCACAGCCCCGGGCCAGCAAAAATTAAACCCGGTTAATTGACTCGAGAACGGCAGATTGAGGAATACTGAACTGCGAAGGTAGGGGAGAATTACTGGAAGAGCGTCGACCCGAGGGGGCGGCTGTTCGACGCAGCCATGGATGCTTTGGCTAAAGGTACACAGGCCCTCCCTGCCTCGTAGGCAGAGGGGAGGGAGAAGTCTGTTCTGTGGCCTGAGTCAGGTAGGATCTTTAGGTAATTTAGGTTGGAAGGGACTTGAGCAGATCTCCAGGCCAAACTCCTTCTCAAAGCAGGGTCAGCCACAACCCAGGCTACTCAGAGCTTTATCCGGTTGGATCTTGAAAGCCTTTAAAGACACATACTGCACCACTTCGCAGGGTGTTCAGTGCTGCTGCTTGACCTCATGAGGATAAGGATTTGCTTTGCTACAGTCTGAGCTGCACCTGTTTCAGTCTTTGTTATTTCATCTGCCCGTCGTGTACTGCTGCGAAGTGTCTGGTTCAGTCTCTTTGATACCTCCTTCCCCAGTTCTGTTCTCCAGCTGAACAAACCCACCTCCCTCAGGAGGGCTCATGCTCCAGCCCCCAGCCGTCTTGGTGGCCCCAGCTCAACTCAGTCCATTTTATCAATGTCTTTGCTGTAGGGGGTACAAAAGCTGGACTGAGTGCTCTAGGTAGGATCTAAAGTATTGAATAAAGGGGACTGAACACTTCTCTCCATCTACTGCCTGCAGTCCTGATAGTACAGCCCAGGATGCCATTTTTCACCCTTGCTGTCAGGGCACATTGCTGGCTCCTGTTCAGTCCATTGTCTTATGGAGACCCCCCCGGTGCATTCCTTAGCCAGACAGTCACCAGCATGTGTGCACTTCCCTCCCTGCTGCGGGGCTTTACATGTGTCCTTGTTTTTTGTAAGGTTTCTGTGTGGCAGCTCTGCCTTTGAACACCGAGACTATGCCCCCCAAATTGGTGTCATCTGCCAACACGAGGAGAAAACATTCCATCCTCTTGCTTGTTCATTCATGAAGATGTTAAACAGATAGGTTTTGCATAAAAGAGCACTTACAAATTTAGAATGTTTGCTGCCCAGTGTTACCAGTATTGGGATAAAATATTTCATAAATTCTGCAGAGTAACTTCATCCTATACTGCTTCAGGCTCCACAAGTAATTCTGACTTACTAATGTACCTCACTATTCTTTAAAGGCAGTAAAGGTAAATATGTGTCTTATTTTTAAACTGCAGAATACAGTAAGGAGTAGAAGTAGCCTTCTTCATTTTATAGTAAGAGCATTATAATTGCAAAATGTTTGTAAGAACCTCCCTTCAGGCAGTTTTCCTTGAATGTTTCCTAGGCTGTTTTATTTAATCAAATCTAATCAAATTTGTTAAGAAGTTTTTTGCATTTTTATTTAACAGATTCTGTATTGGCTCCTGTAACAGTTCTGTCCTGTGAATGTGTTACAGCACAGTATTATGCTTAGGCATAAAGACTTCTAAAAAGATAGTTTCTTGGTGAAGAGTGGATTTCCCCATTGAACAGAATCACACACCCAATTCAGGTGTGACCAGTTCTCCTGAGATCTCTTGGTGCTGCAGTCACTTCAGTGGGGATCACAAAGTGTGCATTTGCACACTGTGTGATTAACCAGGAAAGGGAGGAAAAGGCCTGTCAGTGTCAGCCAGACAGCACTGCAGACATCTGTGTTGGGTGTAAATGTACTCACTGTTGGATGGGGAGTACTGAACTGTTTTTCTTAGAGGTTTTTTTCCCTTACAGTTAGTGTGATCATAGAATCATAGAATAGTTTGGGTTGGAAGGGACCTTTGATGGATTCCTGCCATAAGCAGGGACATCTTTAACTAGACCAGGTTGCTCAGAGCCTGTCCAACCTGGTCTTGAATGTTTCCAGGAATGGGGCATCCACCCTGTTTCTGGGCAACCTGTTGCAGTGTTTTGCTGTCCTTACTGTAAAATTTCTTATATCTAGTGTAAATTTACCCTCTTGAAATTTAAAGCCCATACCCCTTGTCCTGTTGTAACAGGTCTTACTAAAAAGTCTGTCCCCATCTTTCTTACAAGGCAGCTTTAAATACAGAAAGGCCACCATGAGGTCTTCCTGGAGCCCTCTCTTCTCCAGGCTGAATCATAGAATGCTCTGTGTTGCAAAGGGCTTTAAAGATGATCTAGTTCCAACCACCTTGCAAAACATAACTAAAATAGGTGTGTATATGTAGTTACTTGAGTATCTGTACATATTAAAAGATCCCATCCAAACCAAGGCACAGTTGCCATATCTGGGCCGTATTGTTATGTAGGTTACATTGCAGCCCTGTAAGCTGTTGCACTGATTAGGCTGAGGCTACCAAGTGACACTGGGAAGCAATTATTTGGGGTTATTGATTAGTTAGAGACCAAATGGACTGTGTAGCCTTGATTCCTAACAAATTCTGGCTAATTTGCTGGCTTTGCTTTTTTATGTATTACATTTCTCTTTATTCCTCAGACTTACATTTCTGTAACTGTTTGCTCTTGGAAAAATCTATTAATTTTATCTTGCCTCAGTTTTCTGACATGATTACTTTTTCTTTCTTCTGTGTACCAATTGCAGATCATGAAGAGTGAGGTACTGAGAGTGACCCACGAGCTCCAGGCCATGAAAGACAAGATCAAAGAAAACAGTGAAAAGATCAAAGTGAACAAAACCCTGCCATACCTTGTCTCCAATGTTATTGAGGTGAGGGTGGTGGGTTTTTGCACAGTGACATGAGAAGTGTGTGCAATTTACAGTGGCAGGGAGAAAGGCAGGGAACTCACCAGGGATTCAAGACCTGGAGTATTCTCAGACTTCCAATGCTGCCAGAGCCAGAACTTTCAGGTTTTTCTGTTGTTTTTATTTGTGACCTGGAAGTGCACGTCTCTTGCCCACTTGTTCTCTGGGTCATTCCTTAAGCTTTGGGTACTGTTCATCTGTACTTAAAAACCATCAGAGGGTGGCACAGCCCGTCTGAGTGTAAACTTGAGCATCTGAAATAGGACACATGCTCTCTGTAACTTGTGAAACAGCAAATGAAAGGCCATGGCTCTGTTACTCCATCACATTCTTTTTGTAATTCAGTAATTCTGATGACAGGAAGAAGAATGCTGATAGTTTGCTATTAAAAATAGGATTGCTTTGTACTACTGTTAAAAAATTAATAAGCTTAAGCCTTAATGTGAGCTGCTGTATGGCAGAAGGAAACAGTGCCATTAGCTACTACTTTGTTCTGAATTTTTTTGTCTTTCTATGCACTACTGCCTGCTGCTTTATAAGGAAAGGAAGAAATCAATTTTACAGGATGGCTTTAATGCCTTCAGGATTCTACTGCTGATGGATGATGGAAAGTTTTATTTCTTCTAATGCCTGTATATGATGCATGTATATGAAGCATATGATTAGTGCTTCTAAGCATTAATCCTGGGATCATCCTGCTAGCCTGGTTACATTGTTAGGAACTCTTTCACCCTGGTTTTCAGCTGCTGGATGTTGACCCAAATGACCAGGAGGAGGATGGAGCAAACATTGACCTGGATTCCCAGAGAAAGGGCAAGTGTGCTGTGATCAAGACCTCTACACGTCAGGTAAGACCCATGTGCCCAACCAGGTGTGAGGAATGATGCGAAGGATCTTCTCCTGGTACATCTGGTTTTGCTCACTTTGGTTTCTTTTTTACAGACATATTTCCTGCCTGTTATTGGGTTGGTTGATGCTGAGAAGTTGAAGCCTGGAGATCTGGTGGTGAGTGATTCTATTGTGAGAGTTGGATATGCTGGTGGCCAGAAAATTGCATATGTCTTGCCTTTAAGAAAGAAGACAAATCTATCCAGTTTCCCCAAGACCATTTCTCTACTAAAATTTTCATAGATAGATATTATGGGTTCAGTTACTAGTGTTTGTAGTAAAGAAAAGCAGTTTGGGGTGTGTGCCTTTAATACATACAATTAGGTGCTGAAAGTTTAGAGACCATTTAGTAAGTTTTTTAAACCTGTCTTTTTATTGTGAATAAACTGGACCACTTGTTTAAAATGTGACTGTGGCATTGTCCACTCTGCCAAGCTGGGGTGATTTGATGAATGCCAGTGTCAAAGCTGGTTATTCTTGCATCCTTGAGGTCTAGTAAATCAGCTTTGATTGCATGTTTATTAAGTGCTATCTGAGAGAACCTGTTAAAAGCAAAGGACTTGTGTTTACAGGGGGTGAACAAAGACTCTTACTTGATCCTGGAGACTCTGCCTACGGAGTATGATTCACGGGTGAAGGCCATGGAGGTGGATGAGAGGCCCACCGAGCAGTACAGTGACATTGGGGGGCTGGATAAACAAATCCAAGAGGTGATACTTTA